ATATACAAAGGCAATCTTTAGGAAAATGACAAATGTCTAAAGCCAAAGGCAATCTTTAGGAAAATGACAAATTTCTAAAGCCAAAGGCAATCTTTAGGAAAATGACAAATATCCATATACAAAGGCAATCTTTAGGAATATGACAAATGTCTAAAGCCAAAGGCAATCTTTAGGAAAATGACAAATGTCTATATACAAAGGCAATCTTTAGGAAAATGACAAATGTCTAAAGCCAAAAGCAATCATTAGGAAAATGACAAATGTCTATAGCCAAAGATAATCTTTAGGAAATTTCGAATGGTTCTAGACAAAGACAACTTAAAATAATTTTCCAATTTTGGAAATAATCTCTGATTGATCCAAGTTTTATAGAATACTTCTTCACTGTATTGTTTGTTAAAGGAACTGTTCCGTACCGGTGGTTCTGTTCCTGACACTAACTATGTCTTTATGGGGGATTTTGTGGACCGAGGTTTCTACAGTTTAGAAACATTAACTAGACTTCTAGTACTCAAAGCGAGGTGGCCAGATAGGTAAATATTTATATACCAGGCTTTAGAGAGGCTGTAAGCGTAATTTCAAGTGACCCCTCATTTTGTCAACGGTACCATAACAACCTTAATCTGATCAATTATGTTGATAATTAGTGTCTTTTTTCAGGGTTTAAAATTGTTTAATTCTGATAAATCTTGTATGTTTTCCTGCAGTTGAAATGCGTAATTAACTTTTAAAAAATGTTTTCAAAATTATAGGCATTGATTTATTTTTAATAATTGATCAGACAACTTTTTTATGGGCTCTATATTTTAAATCGAGCATTTCCATATTTACATGGAGGAGCACGGTTAAAGGGTTCATCCTTTTATTTATAGTTACATTTTTTACATTATTTAGACGCATCAATTAAAGGTTCGCATTTTTGTTTTTGGGTGGATGTCTAATTAAAAATTAATGTCAAGTTTTGTAGGTAATGATTTTTAACAGTAATTGCAAAAAAACATATCTAATGGTTTTGGTCCCAAACGGTACAGCCGTTTCAACGAATTTTATTGAATAAAGAAGCTAGCTAGTGTTTGCGAATTGTGATAGAGTATTGGGAAAAATAGCTAAAACTCGATCAATATAATTACTATTTCTATTGCATGTTTTTTAAGAGAATTTAAAAATGTCTCCTGCTTTCCAGCTCAGGCAGAGAATTGCTTTTTAAAATTAATGTGATTTTTTTCAGAATAACATTGTTACGAGGTAATCACGAATCCAGGCAGATCACACAGGTAAACTTTTTTCATAGTTTTGAAAATCATTTTTTTAATTTTTGTAATTCATCATGAATGCACATTTACATTTACCAAGTTTGAGCGCAAAGTCGACTTTCAAAATCATCCATTTGAGTGGCTACGGTTTTAAAATAAATTTTTTTAAATTATTAAATATAACGACGACAAAAAATGTAACAAAAATTCTACAGTAAACTAATTAGTTGTTTAGTAACAGGTTAAGAGAATAAAAATTAAATATTATCATCGAAAATAAGTAATTTTATGCAGTTATTAGTTTCTGTAATCTCTCATTGTTCAAAATCATTTTCTGTAGATTTTTTGGAATTTTTATTGAATAAACGACATTTGAAGAATTTTTTAGAAATCTGGGAACAAATTTGTAAAGAATAAGAAATTCAATATAATGATAAAAAAGAAATAATTGATTCTAACATTGATAAGTATTCAGAAATATGTTCCTAAACATCTAATTAGTTAACTATATAGTTATTGATACATTTTTCGCCTTCGTTATTTAATAATTTTAAAAAATCGATCCTCTGAACGTAACACCCAAATGGATGATTTTGAACGTCGACTTTGCGCTCAAACTCAGTAATTATAGATCATTAAAACGTTTTATATGTCTCAAATGAATCCTAGTAAATTTCTCCACAATACTACATTCTCAGTTCAACTACTATCCATTGCCGGTCACTCCCTTTAAAGCGAAATCCAATTTTATTAGATTCGAGTTAAAGTCAAATAATGAATATCAGAATACGGAAACTGTAACCCCTGGTATTCAAGGTATGATGAATGTCATAATAAATACGAAAACTGTAACGCCTGGAAATACTGCTGCCGTGTGTTTGATCATTTAATCAAATAATGAATATCAGAATACGGAAATTGAAACCCCTTGTTATTCAAGGTATATGTATTATATCATATCTGTTCGGTTCTATAGTAGTAAACCTATCGTGTAAGAATTCCCATTATTACACGGTTCAGGAGGAACAATTTTAATATTGTTCGCTTCCTTGCGTTTAAGAATTGTAGGTGCAGAATTTTCATTCTTTAACGCTCAGACCGTGTAAGAATGGAAATTATTACACGGTCAGAGCGTGAAAGAATGTATATTCTTACACGCTCCAAGCATTAAAGAATGGAAATTCTTAAACTAGTTGAAGAAAATTCATTCTTACACGCTCCTTATATTGATCTTTTCAGTATAGATCAATATTGATATTAACTTAATTATTTTGTACTGACAACATGCACAGGGCAAACTCACCTTTTTCTTTTACATTAATACATGCAAACTTAATTTTTTTTAAACTTAAAAACAACATGATCATTTACCTTTTTCTTTTTTATTAAAACATGCAAACTTACCTTTTTTACTTTAGTAAAACATGCTCACTTACCTTTTTCATTTTTTGAAGTGTTGATATACCTTAATTCAGAAATATCAATTTGAATCTCAACCCTAGTCCTGACAGAAGAGTGGAAATTAACATTTCTGAGCTTTCCCAAAAATATGGACGATGCTTTTAGCCTTACATTAGACACTTTCATCAAACTGTCGAGTCTCAAAGCATACTGCCCGACTGCTTACTTTGTTAATTTTTTTAGTTTACTTCATTTCAAACCAAGTTTAGTGAGATTTTGCAGATCTCTGCATACTTGTAATAGTTTGGTTAGAGATTTTCAGTCTAAGTCACCATATCTCACATAGTTCGAGATGATGAAGTGAAACCACAATCAAAACCAAAAAAANTTTCAGAATAAATACGAAAACTGTAAACCCTGGTATTCTAGGTGTATGGATTCTATGATGAATGTCAGAATAAATACGGAAACTGTAACGCCTGGAAATACTGCTGCCGTGTGTTTGATCATTTAACCCTGGCTGCACTCATAGATAATAAGGTAAGAAAGCCTGTCGTCTTCCTTTGTTATTTCAATGAGGATTTAGTTATTTTTTTTTTTTTTTGTAATTGAATATATATTAAATATGTTCCAGGACATTTAAAAAAAAAAATGAGTTACAAATGCATCATTCTGAGCAACATATTATACAAAATAAAATACGGCAATCATTCCACTGTTTTCTTGAGACCAATGAACAATGTATTTTTCAGGAGGGGGGGGGGGTACTTTAGCTACTGAGGATATATCTATTCCTACCGGTGCACGTGGTTGAGTTTACTTAGATGAGGGGGTGGATATTATACTACTACGCTTAAGTCTCCGAAAGCATGTTAAAACTTGTTTACAGTCATTGTCATTCGAAGGATTAATGCTGATTCCAATCAACCTCAAATTTTCACAAAATGCTTACATTGGGCCACATCACTCAAAGAAACTATGCACCCCAAAAAAAAATTTAACCTCCTTCGTGTGTCACCCTAATGTACAATGTACATGTCAAGATATTATGTGTACATGTCTAGATATTATGTACATGTTTAGATATTATGTGTACATGGAGGATTATCTCCTGAGATTAGAAGCTTGGATCAAATCCGACTGATAGATCGTTGCCAGGAGATTCCACACAAAGGAGCATTCTGCGATCTAGTGTGGTCAGATCCAGAGGAGGTCAGTATATACATATATATATCCTATAGCAGGGATATATTCTGTGATCTAGTGTGGTCAGATCCAGAGGAGGTCAGTATATACAAAAAAATATTTCCTATAGCAGGGATATATTCTGGGATCTAGTGTGGTCAGATCCAGAGGAGGTCAGTATATATATATATATTTCCTATAGCAGGGATATATTCTGGGATCTAGTGTGGTCAGATCCACAGGAAGTCAGTTCCCTAAAATAATTATATCCTTCTAATTTTACTTTATTTAAACAAACTTCAGACGACTCTCCCATATTGATAATGATAAAAAGTAGCATTAATTTTCAAGTCTGGGTTTTTTTTAAAGTGGAATGTCTTTTATTTTGACTTTCGTACTCAATTACACTTTTTTGTAGCTCTAGATATGTGCATTTCATTTTAGAACTTTAAAGCACTGGAAATCACTGTGTACCATTTATATAAAACAGGTTGTAGAGTGGCATGTCTGATTCCCGACGGTGTCTTTCAAACTTTAACTTTTTTTGTAGTTTTTTTGCATTTTTTTACATTAGGAATTTCAGCTTTAAAAGTTTACAGATCCTGAGAATATAGGCTAGATATTTATTTACTAACGTGTTTTGTTGAAGGTTGACAGTTGGTCAATATCTCCAAGAGGAGCAGGATGGCTTTTTGGAGAAACGGTAATTATATAAATTTTTTTTTTCTATTGACGTGAGTTAGTTGTCCTACGGTGGTATGCAATTATAACAATATAATGAAGACGACTTTTTTATCTGAGTTTTAATTGTTAACAAGATTTTTTTTGATTACAAGTTTACAAGTAATTAAAAAGAAACTTTTTTAATTGACAGCTTCTCTTTGTGTTCATGTTTTTATGTATCCATTTAAAAGCTTGATATAAATTAAAATTGAAATCGAAAGTCGTCTTTATTATATTGATATAATCGCCTACCACCGTAGGAAAACTTTAGCTGTACTGGGTTAACTATAAAGGATAAGACTTCAGAAACGACTGAAGGCAATTTTATTCTCTGTTTCTGTATGATTATTGTTTATGCCTGGCTTGGGAACCCAGCTTTGCCTGGAAACTAAACTTTCGCTGTTAAGTCAATCCCACTCAACTAAAATTTTAAAACCAAGCTAAAATATTTCCATGGTTTACCAAGTTCCCTAATCAAAATTTGAGGCAAATCGGTCAAGGGGTTTATGAGTTATAATCAGACATACAAACAGAGATTGCAAGTGCAACTGTAAACTTGTGTTTTCCTTACCAATCATTAAATGATCCATTAAAAGACTATATCTGAGGCAGAAGATTTAATTCAACCAAAATATCGTCAATTTCAAGAGTCGTGTTTAAAGTCTCATCCTTGGTGGGTAACCCTGTATAAAACGGGAAAAAGTTTTATTTTAAGGAACTTTTTCAATTTTGCGATTATTTTTCCAGAAATTTTACAGTAATATTGTAGCTTGGACATGTTTTACAGTGATATTGTAGCTTGGACATGTTTTCCAGAAATTTTACTCTCCACTTCTCCACTTACAATAAAACAACCTCAGTGACTTCAACGAAAAGGAAAATTGCGCAACCTCAATTTAAATTAGAAAGAACTAAATATTCTAAATATCACGCAAAGATAAAAATATTAGAGTAAACCTATTCAACACTCAAACTTTTATCTTAGTAGCTTATGTGGTCGTTAAATTTTTTGAACGCAGTTTTTACAAATTTAAATTTTTCCGTTTTTTAGTTTTAATATTTAGATATATGTTCGATGATAAACTGGTTACCGTGTGGTCTGCACCAAACTACTGCTACAGGTAAAATTACAAAACAAAATAGAGAATATTTGATTAACCTTNAAATTTCTCCTCCTTCCCCTTAAATTCGTTTATTTTCCCATCCTTCTTCTCCTTTTTCTCCTTTTTCTCCTTCTGCTCCTTCTTCTCCTTCTCCTCATTTTACTTCACCCCCTATTTTTCCTTCTCATTCTCTTTCTCCTCCTTCTCCCCATCCCAAAAGTACTTCTCTATGGCAGTGCTAAGGATGAATTTCATTTTGATTCGGATCCGGATTTTAAGCAATGATCTATGTAAAACTGTTTGAATGTAATGAGTTGACAAATTGACACTCTCTTTATTTCAGATGTGGAAACGTTGCTTCCATTCTTGAATGTGACGCGAATGGTACGCGAACAGCAAAGATGTTTGACGCGGTTCCCGAGGAGAAACGCGTATTTCCCTCGCGAACTGTTACGCCTTATTTCCTGTAGTGACCTCGCGTTAGCGAACATAATGGACGCGTGCGCTGTGTTGTCTGTTGACGCAGTCTGAACTGAAAATATAAAAACAATTTGATTAAATATCATCGTGTTAAAAACTGATTTCATCTTCACTATACTTTTACATTACACCAAACAAGCTTGTATTCTGAATACATTAAACACACTCCTCTTTTTTTTAAACATCTTCATGATTTGGCTTGTCCCAAAAAAAACCCTATCCCCCCCCCGTACCCCGCTTTGTTATTTGGTTACTCCGTTCAACGCTCTTCCTGTGCAATTCATATCTTTATTCCTGGATTTCTTTCTTTTACACAATGATGCCCTTTACTAGTTGGTTGTACGCTGCACACTGTGCACAGCTGTGATTCTGTACATTGTACATAGCCAAGATGCAGTACACTGTACATTTTAATTCATCCTCATTTTACCCCTGCTCAATAAGTTTTATTTCCAGGTTAAACTTTATTCTTTGCGTTTTTTGACGCGTTTCCGTCCCGTCCCTGTACGCATTTAGGAATACTCCTCTCTAACTCATATATGTAATACCACGCTTTTATTGACCAGAGTTCAGAAATTCTTAAATATATTTTATACCAATATCTTTTGTGATTATGACATTTAGAGAAATAGAAACAAATGTTTACCATTTTGTGTTTTAAATTGGAGATTATATCGACAGGGTTTGTCCACTTGGAAAAAGATTAGAGATGCAACTCAACATATATATTTATTATACAGTGGTAGGCGATTATATCAATACAATAAGGACGACTTTTATTTAAGATTTGATTGTCAACAAGCTTTTTTCGAATTAAAAGTTTACAAAAAATCAAGAAAGGATTTTTTGATTAAAAGCTTTTCTTGATTTCTATGTTACCTTTTCTACCTTTTTTCATCCTGCCTTATACTTTGAATGTATAGAACTCAGTGTGTTGATTTTTTAAAGTTATTTTATTAAAAAATTGGGGGAGGGGGTGGGGGGAAAAGTCTTAAAATTTTTAAAACTTTTTGATGCATGTACATATATATCCAAAGTAATAGAATTTCAAATCCTGAGAAGGTTTAAAAAGTTCAAAGTTCTTGAAACATTATACAAGGAGAGGAGAAAGGTTAGAAATCTGATATTTTATAGTCTAGTCTTAATCTTTACCTTCTCAAATCTACTTGATGTGGGAATATTGATGAAGAAGTGTGTGTGTGTGTGTATTAGTGTACAAATATTATAAGACCAAAAAAAACAGTAATGTTACGTCGGTCCCACAGCATTTCCGTCCTACGATACTTTGGACCTATGACAGCTGTAGGAAGGTGTGGCGTTATTTCTGGGTAAACGTTAAATAATGGCAGTATATTCTACGCAGCAAATTGTCCGCGGCATCCGTGCATATTTATGTAGCTTAAAAGAGTTGGTGAATATGTAGATTGAGTAAATTCTATCTAAAAATTTCAGAAGAAATTTCGTTTATTAGTAAAAATATAATTTTTAATGATGCTGTGATCATCGATATAGTTAGCTCTAATGGAGTTAAGTGATAAATTTATAAAGTTAAAAAGTTAGTTTTTCAAGCAAAGGAATAATTTTTAGACTCTATAAGGTTAGTAACCACACAAAAATGTAGTCTTTTTGTTGTATTTATATGGTAAACAAAACAAGTCCAGGTGGGAGGGGGGGCAAAAAAAATTTTAAAAAGGTATCAATATTTTTTCAAAAAAGATGTTTTTAAGGGGGGCACAATGTTGCCAAGGGGGGGACCCAAAAATTTTTTTACGCGCGCACATTGTGCCCCTCCCTAAGCAAAAGCCCTCGTACGCCCCTGCGCTGCGGCTACCTAATAACTGTGCATCAAACCTACGAAATGTAAGCCATATCTGACCTAAGAAATGTGTGCATCCGACCTACAAAAGTTGTGAATCCGACCTACAAAAGTTGTGCATCCGACCTACAAAAGTTGTACATTGAACGCTACTTCATGTTTAAGTTTTGACACCCTGTAGCATTGATAACTTGTTTTATTTCGCAAAATTTATTAAAATTTAAGAAAATACTTAAACTCTAGAGAATTAAACATTTTTCAATTAATTTTACAAAATCTCATACTATTCAAGCCTTCCAATAAACTTGTTGATTGTAAGAAATTTTAATTCACATAACGTCCGTAAACAATATCCAATAAACTTGTGGAGAGAGTTTTAAATATGTTGTAAAATTAAATAAAGGAAGAGAGTCAAGTAATTAATTTAGAATTTTGGCGGAATAATAAACTTTAAAAAAGAAACTCTCAACTAACTTAAGTTGTAAAAAATTCACAACTGTGTTCTTAGCGAAGACGATCAAGTTATCCAATAAGATTTGCGAGTGGGATGCAAGTAAATCCTCAAAAACTCTAGACTTCAGATATTGACACGTGATAATAACAAAACAACATTTTGTACTTGTTTTAATTATTTAAATATATTTCTATAAAATTTATTCAGTTTTCACCATTATCAAACACTGTAAATCTATAACAAGATGATATATTCTTGGTCCATATGATTTTACACACTCAATGTGAACCACGTTGCACGTGCTTCTAATCCCTCGTTCCGATTTTAGGAGATTACAGATTTTATCATTTATCTCATCAGCTGATTTCTGCCAACATGATCTTTTATCCTCTCCAGCTTTTACCTCAAACCAATCAAATCATTCTAATTTTTGGATATTTTAAGCTTTATATTGTAAACAAAAGAATCCTTAATTATCAGCAGTGCCTGCTTAAGATCCGGATCCGTTGGATTTACAACATTTTGGCTTCCCGGATCCGGATCCATATATGAGGCTCCCAAGGGAAATATAATAACTAGTGTCTACTAAAGAATGTTTCCTCTAAAAACACAAATATCGAATTGTTAACTAATAAAAGTACATAATCATTTCATAATCACTACATGCCCATTACCCGATTCAGAGTAACAGTGACACAGATATCGTATTATTTCTTTATAGAGATAAATTAGGTAAATTTTCATACTAGTCTCTGAAGTCTCTGCGGACTCTGCGGCATAAATTTCTCAATCAATTTGTAGATAGGAAAACTAAGGTATTACCATAATTTATCAGAAAATGGTTTGTGGGGAATGTATCTTTTTAGATTGAGAGTAATTTTACCTCAGTAAACTTAGTTTCATTTAAAGTACCGGGCCAACCTTTGGGCAAATAGATAAAGTTGTTCTGAGGCCGAATTTAAAGAATTTGAGCCGCGGTTCAAATTTGAAACGCGACTCAAACATGGTTGATTTTACTTTAAATATTATTTGCTGTTTTGAAATTGAAGCCGGCGCTGAATTGAAACCGGTTTTGGGAGAATTTAATTCTTTAAATTCAGCCTCAGGCAAAGAGCTACGTCGACAGACGCTTTCATGTTAAAAATGTGAATAAATAAATGATTTATTTTCCTCGACGTTTGTATGAACATGAAGTATTCCACCACTTGACTTCAAAGCATTGACAGCAACCTTCCAACTAATTGATGAGCTAGGAATTAATCCTAAAATAATTAAACCATTTTAGTTTATCAACTGCCATCTCTATTATTCAACCCACATAAAAAAAATCTTTATCATTTCATATCTAAAATCTCCTACTTATTTTTACATATATTTATTGTTCAAATGTCATATTATTATCTATTATTATTACTGCTAAAAATTATATGATTTGATTTGAAAAAAAGATTTCAAAAAATCTGATTTACCAAGATTCACTCTATCTGCAACTCCCTCCGGACACACTTCCCTACAAATTAAAAAATTTAAATTATATTTTTTTTCTTCAGAATTTGCAAAATGTTAATTCTATGTTTTACAACTTTTAGCACTAGTAAATATAACACGGAGGACAATGAGGACGTTCCTACGCTTAGGTTGAACTAAAAACCCTCATTTTTTTGGTTTGAAGTTTTTCCCCTGCCCTTTTTCTGTCACTTAAAAGCCCAATTTCACGCTTGAAACTATTTTCCTCGGACAATTTAAGTAATTTAAGTATTATTTTGAACATATTTCCCCTGAAATGTTGATGTACCTATTATCTCCTTGTACATTTCTCCTCTACCTTACTTTCTTTCCCCTGACAGTTTCATTCATTTTTAACCCATTTTTATTATTTTAAACATATTTCCCCTGAAATGTTGATGTACCTATTATCTCCGAGGAGTACAGTACATTTCTCCTCTACCCCACTATCTTTCCCCTGACATTTTCAGTCATTTTTATTATTTTAATCATATTTCCCCTGAAATGTTGATGAACCTGTTATCTCCGAGGAGTACAGTACATTTCTCCTCTACTCCTGCATCTTTTAGATTCAGCTTCAGAGCTACAAATTCAACAAGGTTTACAATGTTAAAATATATTAAGCCCAAACATACAAGTGGCTGGAGCTCGACCCTGGAGCTCAACGTAACATTGCCTACAGGATATGATACTTTGACTGTAGGTTGATTGTTAATAATAATAATAATAAAACTACAAGGATATTTATTTAGATATTGAAGTCGTAATTTCAAATAACTCATTTATATAGGCATGTACGAGTCACATCGGTATCATTAAAAGATTTATAGTAGATTCAGCTTTAGAGCTAAACATTCAACAATGTTTACAATTTTGAATGTTTAACAATGTTCTTTTTTAATATTTAGAATCTCAAAATTGGTGAGAAATTACTTTAAGTTCCTTTTTCCCTTTTTGCTAAAAATCGATACTTATGGGTTGTTCAGGTTGGGTTAAAGATGGCAATGCCCAATTCACAACGGTACACTTGAAATTTATCTCTGTAAAAGATATTTTTTTTCTATTGTAAGTTCTTTATTTAAAGACATGCACATTTCTGCTACAGAAATAATTAGAGATTGTGAATCGGTCATGCCCCACTTTTATAAATAGAGTCGCTTGAAATAACCTTTTAAATATCCAAAAAAATATTATTTAAATTTGTATTTTTCCAAATGTAAAAATAAATTTTAATTACTAATTGATTTTATTTCACACAAAAATTAGATCCTATTTTTTATTTAAGCTATTGGCGTATTTTTATCGAGTTCAAAAAAGGAAATATTTTTGAAATTATAATGATTTATATTTACCTTCAACACTACTTCGATTCCACTCACAGGCATAAACATGTTTTGCGTTGGCATGAACTTAACAAAAATAAATTCTTTTTAATAATTGGATAAATTAGAAATAATTTTTACTAAAAACTGCTTCTATATGGGTGGAGTTTCACTCTTTAATTGTTAAAAACATATATTAATGTATTGGCAGCTAAATAAACTTATAGTTCACCTAGATATGGCAGTACAAAGTATCCAATTCCTGCGAACAGGTCCACAACTACCTCACCGCTACAATCAAACTATTTAAATTATGTTGACATCTTACACGGTTTCATAAATTTATGATTTTGAAATAAGCCAAAAAATCGCAACACCACTTTTCCCTTCTTTGGAATGCCCAATTCACAGCGGTACCATTAAAATCTTTGTCTGATCAAGTATGAATTAGATATTGATGTTTACAATTTTAAAAACTGATAAATTTCAATTGTTGATTCTCTACTTAAGTGTCTAGCTCATTTCTGCATTAGGAAAACATAAAAAATTCTCATAATTTAAAAGTTTAGACCTAGTAAAACGACATTATTAGTTACATTGATTAGTTAGAGGTTCTATGGTAACACAGGTTGTGAATCAGGCAATGCCATCTTAGAATGGAGGCCGGATGATCAATTACGTCTTCGGTTCCTTTAAGAGTGTTTTTGTATTAATATGTAAAAATAGGAAGACAAAATATGCATTATCAATAATCATGTATGTTTAAATACTGAAATAATATTTGGGTATCTAAAATGTTAATAAATTAACATAATTTTCCTTGGCGACTCTCAATTTTTCAGATATGTTTCCTCTACAGAACATTGATTTTCTTATAAAAAGAAACACATAAAATGGCAGTGTGAAAATTCGTCATTCTTTTCCCACCAAATTTTTTTTACATATTATGGTTTAACTGTTTGAATCAGTGTCCACAAAGTTTGAGAATGATTGTTTGGAAAATTTAAAACTGCATTTATGGTTTATGCCTGATGTTAAAATTATATTTTATTCCATTCTCCTTCTTCCATACCCAAGGATCAGAACCTGACAGAAAGTACGAAATTTTTTTTTGTAAAGGTCAAATTAAATAAATTTTGAAATGAGTCTTGATCTTTTACTTCGTATTATGGTGTTAACAATAACAAACTGGAAAGGAACCGAGGTCGCTAATTCTAATATTCAAATCCCTTTGTATCCTGATGGTGTAAACCATTGATATTTCAAACTATTTCATCTTATAGCTATTCATAGTTTAAAAAGCAAAGGTCTACGACATCGGATTTCAAAGATATATGGATTAGAAAATCATTGTTGCAAGAACTCAGTTCCTTTTAGTTGTGAATTTTGAGATTTGCATGATTTGTGTAATTAAACTTGAGAGGGATGTAATAAATTTTTAAAAGCTAATTTTTAATAAAGATTTGAGTCAATCCGATTGAATAAACTCGATTCTGAAGTGAATCAAGTCTGAAGCATTATCTTATAAAATAGGGGAGCATCAAGGTACTAAGGCAAGGAAAGTTAATTGCGGTCGCGTATACTCTGCGTACATATTGAAACTTGTTCTCTCTCGGCGGATTTTGTAAACAAGAAAAGATGCATCAATATTCGTTTAGTATCAGAGGAGGTTAAAAGCATTTAATTTTAATAATTTTGAAAATTCACATAACAGTTTCCTATGACCAGAATATTTTATAGATTATTTTTGTGAAAATGGATTCCATTTCAGGCTGTGACATCCGTCTTGTGTTTACTTTTCCGCCCAAAGACAGTATAACTTTCCTTGCATTAGTCTCTTGGGTTGCATCATGTATGGTACATTCAATTTTATAAACGATGTCCCATGGAGCAGCTTTTATTATGAGCGAGAAGTTGAACCGCGTAGACAAAGTTCAACCACTTCTTTACAACTTGAACGGACGGACAAGAGAAATGGTTCAACTCCCACTATTTATCAAATCTGATCCATGGTCCCTTTGTTAACAATTTCATTATTTGGAAGAAAAAACAGGCAAATTGTGAGAATGGTTTTTTTTTTTTTTTTTCATAAATTCCTAGAAGTAAATCTGTCCGTGGACTTCTGAACTTATCATTCACCACGGCATTCTTACGGGCTATGCGCTTCACACTTCAATCAATCAATATAACACAATAAATCCAAGTACTGTTATTTTAGTACGTTTTATCCACCCCCCCCCCTTCCAGTTCTACTAAAACAATGTTCAATCTTAAAAATCAAGTACAATAAAAAAAATCACACTGTGCACATTTAAGAGTCTTCGCTTGGGCACTTGGCCTGAACTAAAACTCAAACCTTTTTAAATGAAGGATCGTTAAATCCTTATATCTCTGCAACTTCATGTCGTAGACCTTCGTGCCATTCCAAACTGTGAATTCTGTCAAGAATACAATGGTCAAAAACTGGTTTACATCAGGTTGCAAATATATCAGAGACCGAATTTAAAGAATTTGAGCGGCAGCTTAAATTTAAGCCGCCGCTCAAATATGGTTGGTTCCACTTAAAATTAAGATTTAAGCCGGCGCTTAATTGAAACCGTTTTTTGGCGGATTTAAGACGCGGCTTAAATTCATTAAATTCGGACACTGGATGAGGAAATTTGAGTTTAAAGCAATAGCATTGAATAATATTGGTTGAATTCCTAAATATATCACAGATTAGAGCAAATACTTCAGGACTTTGATCACACTTTCTCAAGCATTGGCTTGGGACCAGGATTAGGTCGTTGTAAAGTTCATAAGTTGACGGTAGATCTTCAACTAGATCGGATGTTTCACCATAAAGTTTGATAACTTCAGCTCTGAGAATCTGAAAAGAATGATAAAGCTCAAATAAAAATTTGTTGGCAATTGGAAATGTCATGTTATAAATATTGAATATATAAAAGACGTCACATATATATATTAATATAACGAAAGACGACATTCTATTTCAGTTTTGATTTTTATAAAGCTCTTAATTATTAGAGACACATAATCTTGTATAATAAGAGAAGCGGTAAATTGAAAGGGGAAATATTTGTGTTATTTGAATATTAATTTTTAATTAAATTAAATTGAATAATGCTAAATATACTGAAATATTTACGTTTACTAATTATTCTGTATTATTTTGGAAAAGTATGGTAGATTTAAATATTGCATCAAAATTAAATCTTATTTTCTTCAAAACTTTAATATATTTAACAATTACCAGTATTAAAGGGACTGTACGCGTAATCTAAAGTAGCCCTCCATGCAAAGATGACAATGCCGATTGTTTTTTGAACATTTATATTAAATTCCAGGGTTCCTATTTTTAGTGAATGAAGGGGAAAATAAAGTTTGTCTTATTTATGATGAATACATATTTTATTTTCAATTGTAATCTTTAAAATTATGGAAAAATGATATAAACAGATTTGGGAACATTACCTCAAGTTTATTTTTCTGATCCTTTACTAAGGAAGGGGATTCCTTTGTCAGCACTTTCATTCCAACAAATTCTGAGATCAACTCTGTGTTCAATGCTATCATTTTGTCTTTTAATTAAAAAAAATTGCAATAGTAACAACTTGTAAGCTTTCTTTATACAATTATTAAAATAATGAAAATTTTTAATTCTTTTCTCTTATACGACGGTGCCATTAATTGGATAAAGTAGTACAGAAAATTGCCGATTTTGATCATATCACATCGTAAAGGTTTGACAGAGGGAAAGGACATCATAAGAAGCATAATTTTATTTCTTATGTTTTGTCCTTTCTTCAGATGAAACTTTTCTAAAATATTTACCATTTTAAAATTAATATTCCTATGAAACTGGGATTTATTGATATGACAGGAATTTCCGCTGTGTCTCCGACAACCAACATTTTCCTACTGGTGTCATAAACTTGTAGAGTTTCAAGGTATTCTCGACATTTCTGCCCCTGTCTAGATCATAGGATTTTAAACTTTTTAATAGTAACATTCAAAATATATTCCAGATATTTAAAGGTCTGATGTTTTCTCAATTGAAAAATATCAATTTTAAGATAGAAAAACAGGGATGTCTTTTTGCTACAACCGTCCTGGTTAAGAGGCGAATATAATTTTGATTCAAAAACTAATTTTCCAATCCATTCCTCTTTTCAACCACAATATAATTAGTACAGCCCATCATCTTCATCTGAAATAAGGAAAATGTTATTTACATTCTTAAAAAACTGCATCCGACATATTTTTATAATCTAGTTTTATAATTGAAAGATAAAACTTTTTATAATTTAGATTTTATTAAAGATTATTTATTTATAGAAGTTCTGCAGAAGTATTAAGAAGAAAGGTTAAAACATATTAGAAAGGATAATTTTATGTGCGTTTTTCAAATTACAAACATATTACAGATCTCTTTAACTACATCACTAAACATTTTATAAGAATACTTAAAGATTAGATTTGATAAAACAATAAAGAAATATTGCCTCTTGAGATCACTTGTGACTTCGGTTTAGAATATGATTATATTGAAAATATTTTTTTTATTTGTCATCAGGGAAAGTTTACTTTAATGCAATCTTCCAACAATAAAACTTAAAAACAATTTAATTTAATATTTAATTTATATTTAGATATTTGAGTGTTGATCTTGTTGGTGGTGCGTCAGAGATAGTTCACTCTTAAATATGCGTTTACAGTCAGAGCAAAGAAAAAAACCATGAAATTTGTGATCTGCCAACGGAAAATATCTTTGACATTGATTGCAGTAGAATTTGTTCTTGTTCTCGTGCTGTCCCAAATGATATTTCAGATCACTTTTGGAAGAAAATGTCTTTGAACACATGGTACAACTGGTTGGTTCGTTGTCATTGTTAAGATCATCAACTGAATCTTCTCTGTTTGAAAATGGGCGTTTGCAATCATTAGAGGATGAGGCATTGACATTAGGCTGGCCTTGAGATCCACTTGCTTGAGCAAAAAAACATAAGTAGTAGAATAACAAACTTTTACAGGATATCTTTTTAACAATACAATTTTTTACCATAAGCTACATTTTTTGAATATATTATACATTCGGAAAAATGGTATACACAGAAGTTCTTTTGACTATAAATCTAATATTACTGATAAAGGGGATCTTTTATAAAACTTTGAGACGGGGAGCTGGCCGCCGTTAAGAGAAAAACTAGGGCTTAAGAGACCAAGAACTGTGCATTTTCTCAACATGAACATTCAGATTTTTCTCTTGGTTGAAGCTTTTAGGACACGATCTGCAGCGGTATTTCAGATCGTTAGGATTAATTAGTGATCCTTTGTTAACTAAAACTTTATCACAAATCTTAGATTTAAACTTATGCATTTTCTCAATATGAACATTCAGATTACTCTTCTGGAAGAAGCTTCTAGGACAGTATTTACAGCGGTAATTAAACCCTTCATGAATTTTACTGTGGTTAGCCAGTGATCCTTCATTAACTAAAACTTTATCACAAATCTTACATTTAAATTTATTCCCAACTTTTGCATGCAGCTTACTATGAAGTGTTTGCTTGGGTAATGGAAGAAAACGATCACAGAGTTTGCACAAAAACTTCTTCGGGTTATTGTGCTGTAATAAATGATATTTTAATGCAGGCATTGAAGAAAATTGTTTCGAGCAATCTGGACAATAGCCAACATCTTTCTTATGCATTCGTTTCCGTTTTTTATTTCTATATCTTGGAAATATCTTATCATCTTGCTGTGATTCAAATATCATAGATAAGTTTTCAGTCGGCATTTTTGAATCAACAGATGTGGATTGTTTATCTCCAAGAGCAAACTCTTGAACATCAGAGGTTTGTTCATCTTTAGGAAGAGATTCTTCAAATTTCATAATGAAGTGCTTGTTATGAGGTAGAGATTCTTGATTTTCAGGCAAATCTTCAGATTGATGATCGTCATCAGGAGCTAATTCTTCAACCTTCATCACATGATGGTTTCGAGGAAGAGATTCTTGAACCTTCAAATTGAGTTTCTTATTTTGAGGTAGAGATTCCTTATCTTCGAGATGATCTTTAGGTTGTTTTTTTTCAGGTTGATCTTCGGCTTCAGGTACAAATTCTTCAAACTTCATATTGAATTGCTGATTTTGAGACCAAGATTCTTGATCTTCAGATATAAGTTGTTCATGTTCAGAAAAAGATTCTAAAATCTTTATTTCATATTGATGGTTTTGAGGTAGACATCCTTGATCTTCAGGTTCAGCTTTAGGTTGCTTTTCAGGTTGATTTTCAGGTTGATTTTCGTCTTCAAGAACACATTCTTCAACATTCATCACATGTTCTTGGTATTGACGTAGAAATTCTTGGTCTTCAAATTGATCTTTACTTTGATCTTTGGGTTGAACCTTGTCTTCAGGAACATATTCTGTCATAATAAATAGCTTGTTTTGAGAAAGAGAGCCTTGATCTTCAGGTTGATCTTCAGATTCGGATACAACATGTTGATCTTTTAACCTTGACTGAAAAGAAGAAGCATGATTTAAAGGATGTTCTGGAAGTGAATTAGAGAATGTCATTTTTTCTTCAGATTTAGTTGGAGCCGTTTCAATTTCAGCTTGGACTTCTTCAACTTCAATAATCTGAAGATCTTTTGAGGACAACTGGTCAATTCTAAATTAACCTTGGATGTAATAAAAGAAGACCCATTAAATAGTGAATTGGGAAGACAACAGTTAGACACAGTTGATTATTTTGAAAAGTCCGATAAATAAAAGAAATTGACAAGGTTTATTTTTAAGCTTCTTGTGAAACTTCTTGCTTTTAACTTTTCAGGGAAAATAAAATTCAAACAAGATAGCTTAAATGTCGTCTTCCTATTCAACAGTTTTACGGAACTCAACTATATGAATACATAATTCATAGAAATAATTTTAATATTTTATCAATTTTAATTCTTTGAATGTTCAGATATTTCCAATTTTACACCAGGTTGTTGTGTCCAAGGTTTGCCTGAGAAGTTTAAATAGCTTTTTTAGTTTCTTTGCCTTTTCTATGGTAAGAATAATAATGCTGGCAGGGATACTTCCCGTTGATAGAAGAGAACTCAGAAGTTCCATCTGAAATCAAAGATACAGGATGTTCCACAAAAAATGAAAGTTGATACAGCTTGAAAATTGTCTTTGATAATAATTTGCAGTAATAATCAGTCTACTTTTAATGTCATGTTTTATGGGACACCCTGTATCATTAAAAATTAAGGTTAAATCAAAATAATGAGTTTAATGAATCAAGCTTCACTTATAATTTTCAAACCGGTCAGATTCTAGTGATCTGAACAAATTTCGGGAATTATTTGAAAGTTATTCTCATCATTATAGGGTTATTTGATTCTCAGTCAATCAATCAATCAAACTATTGATCAATCAATAAAGATCTGAAAATGAACAGGAAATGGGACCTGTGCTACAGTAGAGTCCGGCAAACTGATTTCTATATCCGGATCCAGTACACTGTTTATCCCTACACTTCATCTTAATCTAAATCTTTATTCTGTCGAGGTAAACTATTTTTAGAAATCAAAAAATAATCTATCGAGAATTGTGAGAAAAAAAGTTAATTCCAGAAAGAAGAAAAATTGTTGATTATTACAATTTTTTAAGCTAATAGTTTTAACATGCACTGACAATCAAAGCAATCAAAATCAAGATTACCATGCTTCATATTCATAAGACCATATAACATTATGACTTAGACATAAAAGTCGTCGTCCTATTTAACGAATGCATTTTTGATTTTAATAATTTAAAGGAACTGTAAGCTGAATTTTATGTGACCCTCCATACAAAAATGGCTATGCCCGATTTACAACGGTAACCTGAAAAGCTTTGTCTGATCAAGTATAAAATATACATTAGTGTTGTAAGTGATATGCGCATTTCTTGTAAAAAAGAAGCAATGGAGAAACTCGCAGAAGTAAATACATTTAAAGTTAGAAAAACGACGGTATCTTTTGATCAGATTAAAGTTTCAATGGTATCGTTGTATATCGGGCATTGCCATCTTTTCATGGAGGTTCACTTAAAATTACGCATACAGTCCCTTTAACTGATATTGTTAAGATGAATTTTCCTGTTTGAGTATGTTTGGTTACTGTTAAGAGGTTTCTCAGGTAGGTGCTAGCAGCAATAAGTAGGGCAGCAGAACCAGTATACACTCCATCTAAATGAACAAGCTCTTTATTTTGGATTCAAAATATAATTTCTTAATGATTTGAAATATTATCTGTTTTACAATCTTAAATTTTTTTTTATGAATTTAAGACTTAATTTTAATTTGGAACAATTCTAACAAAATCTGCATTGTTTCTGTGGCAAAAATCCGCAGGCCACCTTTGTACTGAGGCCAAAATAAAAACAATCTGACTCTTGTTCATACAAAGCTTTAAAAGGTACCGTTGTGAATCATACATGGCACTTTATAATTGAATCACTAAAAATTACGTCTACAGTCAACTTCATTATTGAGAGGATACCATTTTTTAATTATGTGTTTTAAAAAAGTCTTTAGGGTCATATAGAAAGGAATTTAAATATCATTTTGTCTCGGAAGTCAAAAATACTTGATACAGAAGCTGACTCATGGAGGTAAATATATTTACCAAGATATTACATACCATTACAATAAAAAACCAGATTATTCTCTACTTGAAAATGTAAAGGATAGGTTCTCGTAAATTTCATTTTTCTGAAATTTAATATTAAGTGTACACTTATTAAAAAATATTTAATAAACTAACACTATCACATTTAGGAGACTCTGATGGACGGTTTATGTCAAACTATTATTGCAGAAGCATACCGGATAGAATAAAAAATCATAAATCTATGTACATTTGTACAATTTCATTACAAAGTAACATGCAGTAGAATTACAAATAATCACGGAATATCACAGATCAATTTTTCATTATAAAACAAAATTTTCTTTCTCAATAATTTTTAGAAATGTTCAGCTAGATGTAGATCTAAAGAATTGCTATCTTTAAAAGATATTCCGCAGATAAAACAAGCAATAAGATTCAAAGACGAGGCACTATGCATTTTCTCAATATGAACATTCAGATTTTTCTTTTGGAAGAAACATCTAAGACAGTATTTACAGCGGTACTTCAACTCTTCATGAATTTTAATGTGGTTAACCAGTGATCCTTCATTAGCTAAAACTTTATTACAAATCTTACACTTAAAGTTATCTTCCACTTTAGTATGCACGTTCTCAATATGAACTTTCAGATTTTCCTTTAGAAAGAAGCTTTGAGGACAAGTTTCACAGCAGTACTTGGCCCTTTTATGAATTAGAATATGGTTTCTTAGTGAGACATCAGTCATATAAGACTTATCACAAATCATACATTTAAACTTATCCCTAACTTTTGCATGCAGTTTATTGTGAGCCTTTTTCAGGCGTTTTGGTAGAAAGCGATCACAAAGTTCACAAAAAAACTTTTTTGGGTCCCTGTGCTGCATTAGGTGATATCTTAAAGCAGGCACCGATGTAAAACTTTTCATACAATCCGGACAATCGTCTGAATCCTTTTTATGTGATCTTTTATTTAATACATTTGTTGGAAATCCTGAATCTTCTTGCTTTGTTCTAGAGACTGGAGATAAGTTTTCAGTCCGCATTATTGAATCATAAGATTCATCTTGCTTATGTTCATTCAGAGATTTGAAAACTTTAGAAATAGGTTGTTCTTCTTCAGGAAAAGGAAGAGATTTTTTAACTTTCAAAATCAATTGCTTGCTCTGAGACAGAGATTCTCGATCTTCAGAGATAAGTTGTTCAACTTTAAAGATATGTTGCTCATCTTCAGAAAGAGATTCTTTAACTTTCATAATGGATTGCTTGCTTTGAGGTAGAGAATCTTGATCTTTAGGTTGATCTTCAGGTACAACATGTTTATCATGTGGAAATGCATTAGAGAATGTAATTTTTTCTACAGATTCAGATTGTGCAGTTTCCATTTCCGCTTGGGTTTCTTCAACTGCAACAATCTTTGATTCTTTGATCTTTATTCCATATCGTTGGATTCGAGGTAGAGATTCTTGATTTTCAGGTAGATTTTTGTCTTCAGGAACACATTCTTCAACCTCCATAGAGAATTGCTGATTTTGCTCTTTGGGCCAATTTTCAGGTATATTTTCGTTTTCAAGAACACATTCTTCAATCTTCTTCACATATTGTTGGTTTTGAGGTAGAGATTCTTGATCATCAAGTTGATTATTAGGTTGATCTTCAGGTATAATGTTTTGATCTTCATGTGTTAGCTGACAGGTAGAAGCATAATTCTCAGGATGCTTTGGAAATAAATCAGTGAATGTAATTTTTTCTTCAGATTCAGTTGGTGCTATTTCAATTTCAGCTTGTGTTTCTTCAACTTCAATAATCTGTAGATCTTTTAAGGACAACTTGTCAATTCTAAATTAACCTTGGATATAATAAAAGAAGACCCATTAAATAGTGAAATGAGAAGACAACAGTTATGACACAATTCATGAATTTTAATAGTTTAATGAACATAAAACAAAGTAATTCTGAAGTGAACACAGATCCGTTTTACTTGATTTTCAAGCTGGTTTGTGAAACTTTTTGCTTCTAAGGCAACATAAAATACAAACAAGAGACCTTAAATCATATCAAAACAAATCAGGCTTTTCGAGATGTCCTACACCCACACGCCAAAATTGTAGTGACTAAACTAAACCAATAATGAAGTGGGGTCTTACTGTACTCTGTTCATTTTCATTTGATTGTTTAAAACTAGCGGATAAAAAAATTTGCAAAATTTATAATTACAACGTACATCCGACTTTATTACCAGACCGCCAATCACAGATTCTAATCCCTGGTCTAATTGCCCTGTTAGCTGGTGAATTTGGGAACGTTAATAGTTATGAGCTTAAAGAACCTTAAATGCCACAAGTAATCAGTAATTTAAGCTAATTGACGATTGATTTTAACGGGATTTGTTAAAAAAAAAAAATCAATTTTAGTAAGAATGGAATAATCCGCTAATATTTGATTTAAACACGATTCATTTCTAGAAAGGGAAACAGGGAGTGTAAACTTTAGGAGTATCATGGCTCCTCTCCAGATTGAGAAAACTCTACCTGAACCTAGAATCAAGCCTACCATTAAACAATTGTGATCTCCAATGCATATTTTTGCCGAATCACAATCATCCCAATATAAAGCTTTTAATATTTTATATTTCAGAGTAGAATGGCAGGCCATGATCTTCAAGACTGAAGCTCTACTGCCTGCTCTTGAACCTGTTGAGCTTTCCAGCTCAGAAAATCAGGTTGGATATTGCTAATAATTGCAATAACTACTTGGGTTTTTACAAGAATTGCTTTTGCTTAATAAAGCTATTCTTATTCAGGAATACCAGATCTGAAACTAAATCTGATGAACCTAATCGTTATTGAGCTGAGGATCACTGGGTCCTGCTAAACTCGGGGGGGCTGATCTCCTTTCGAGTCAAGGTAAACACCTAGCTCATAAGTGGAAACCAAATGTTAAACTTAAATTGAGACAAACTATAAATAAATATTTTAGTTCCTACAGTTGAACTATTCGCAGCTCCAAGTCTCTCCTATTCAGAAGATTGAGAGCCTTGTTAGGTAAAAACAACCTAGATGATGTCGTAACCCTTACTTTATAAAATGTATTTATAGGAGAACCTGCTATAAAACCTCCTTGATCTAAAACAGCTAATCACACTCTACAGGGTACCGTCCTCTTAGTAGAGAGGTAAATACATTTTCAGGAGAGCTTAAAAATTGGATAAGGCATCAATCTTAACAAAGCATAAGATTGATTTTTGTTCAGGAATGGCATGATTAGCCATCGTGTTTTAACTGTTCTGATCCTGGAAGTTTAGAACTAAACCTGAAACCAAGCTAGACTAAACCTCACTAACTGGACTGGACTAAGCACCAAATTGTAAGTAACCTTGTTAATAATCTAGTAGTAACTTTCTTCACTCCTCTGTTTCAATCAATCAATCTGACCATTTCTTTGCCGAACCCATCAATCAATCTGAACATTCTTCTCTGAGCTCATCAATCAACTAGTTGTTATCTATCAATCAATCAATCAATCAATCAATCAATCAATCAATCAAGCTGACCATTTCTTTGCCGAACCCATCAATTAATCTGAACATTATTCTCTGAGCTCATCAATCAACTAGTTGTTATCTATCAATCAGTCTGCAAATGATCACTATCAAAGAAACTTCAATATTTCAAATTAAAAGCCTTTTTATAAAGAAACTAAAACATTTTTTATAAATGAGAAAAAATGTTTTATCCTTCTATCTGATAACTGATATTTTACTCTAAACATTTTATATAAATAAAACTAACTTTGTGTTTTTGTTTCAGTTTCACTACCTTGATGTTAAAAAAGAATTAAACAAACTTGTTCTTTAGGGTTAAAGTCTAGGGTTCATACACTCAACCTGCCAGTTAGAGAAAGTGAAAGTTAAAAACTATAAGAGTGTACGGGGAGCAATCCCTTATATCCTTCTTCCTACAAACCTTCTTATCTCTCTCATACCTGCTCCAAAACTCGATGTCAAAAGAACTATTTGGAGAGCCTTAAAGTGTAGAAACAAGAAACAAGAATCAAGAAGAAAAAAGAAAATAGAACAGGAAAAATTGGAAGGGAAATCTCTTGATATTAAAGATGGGGGCTTGGAAGACGTCCACACCCCCACCAGGGAGGGGGGGAGGGGCTGATACGATTGAAATCAGCAGTGAGGAAGATATATAAATTAACCTAATATAGTGACCTATCTCGAAGTTAGCAGTGAGGAATATATAAAAACTAACCTAATATAGTGACCTATCTTGAAGTCAGCTTTGAGGAAGATATATAAACTAACCTAACATAATGACCTATCTTGAAGTCAGCAGTGAGAAAGATAAAACTTAACTAATATAGTGGCCTATCTCGAAATCAGCTGTGTAGTGTGTATCCTCATCAACCTTTTAAAGAGCTCACTGTATAAATACATAATCCAAGGTTTGCCTCAGGAGTTTAAAAAGCCTCTTTAGTTTCTTAACATTTTCTGGGCAGGCAGGGATACATCCCGTTGATAAAAGGGTACTCAGAAGCTTTATCTGAAATTAAAGATATCGAGTGTCCATCCGAAACATAACAGTTAAGAGACAGCTTTGATCTTTAAAATAATTTGTGTTATTCATTTTCTTAGTCTACTTTCTCAAGTATGATTCTTGTCCTTTCATTTTCAAAATTTGGTCTACCTTTTTTGTGCCCTCAAAGTTACCGAATATAAAAATAAATTCATTTAGATTTCATTTTTTAACTAACTAAATTCTTTGAATCTGAAAAAAAATTCTTCAGATCTCTACTAATTTTGAAAGCACAAAAAGGCCAACCAAATATTGGGATTTGAGAAATGCAAAGACTTGGGGTACTTTGTGATTTTTGTCTCAAGAATTTTAAATATAAAATTAGTTTGGTAAAAAGACAACCTCCAAAAACACATTTTCCAATACGACGATCGTTAGGTTAGGCTAAAACAGACTACGGGACCGAAATGCTGCAAAGAGAACAGGACTTGACCAGGCCCGGATTCGTTCTCGGAAATAGAAAATTTTATGAAATGTATTTCAAGAGCTTGTTATGCATTCCGCTGAATCAGACCTGAACTACAGAGAAGTCGGGTAAACTGATTTCTGTATCAGGATCCAGTACATTGCTCGTCCCTTTAAATGATATCTTAAAGTGTATCACAAAAGTTATCTTAAAGAGGGGAGGCTAAGGGGGTTATATATAAAATAATTTGCAAAAAAAAAAGAAGAAAAAAAATGGAAAAGGTTTACAGATAAAAAATTATATCAAGAAAAATTGTGATAGAGCATGTTGAGTTTTTTTGGTCCAGAATAATGATTAACTACCTTATATAAATGAAAAACATGATTGTAAAAATAATTAAAGGTTTTGTATTTGATGTTGTCAAGATGAATATTCCTGTAGGAGTATGATTGGTAAGAGTAAACAGGTTTCTCAGGTAGGTGCTAGCAGCAATCAGAAGAGCAGCGGAACCAGTATACACTCCATCTACATTAGTAAGCTGATCATTTCAAATTCAAAATAGCATTTCTTTATTTCATATCAAATCTTAGCTTTTTAAACCTTTTTTATTTTAATCTCTGCCCACTTTTCATCGAGAAGACAAATTTCGCAGATTTACTGATTTTGGCAAATTAAAAAAAAAAATTCTTATGTAAATGTAATAGGTAGGTTCGGGTTAAATTCTAGTAATTTATTTCCACCCTGAGCTGAAAACTTTAGAATGGAATATCCTTAATCCCGATCGGTTAATTAATCTGGAGATGAATAACAAAAGGAGAACAAGCATTATTTAATATCGAGATTAAGAAAAAGAGTGGATCAAGCATTAATCCTGATATCCACCATTCAAAAGTTCCCAGCTCAGGTTTCTGTGACAGAACTCCACAAATCGCGTAGAAACCCAAATTTAACACAATCAATCATTCCTGCACATTTAAAGCTCTAAAGGATACCGTTGTGTATCGGAAATGCCACTGTTTTAATAGGAAGTCGATGGATATCTTGATCATAAAAAAAAAGATTTTTGTACGTACACCTTCCTGGTTCTTGAGAAGATGCTAATACTCTTTAATTTTTGGCAAGTCTTTTTTCGAAGGATGTCTTTTAGAAGTAAAAAATACTTTAAACAGGTTTCTCCAGGGGTAAATATATTTACCTTTACAATAAAAAACCAGATTATTCTCAGCATGAAAGTATATAGGATAGGTTCTCGTAAATTTCATTCTTCTTAAAAATATCATAAAAAGTCTACTATGTATTAACGTTAATTTGTATTTATTTGAGAATTATCTTAAAATTAAATTTCGTTCTTCAAGATCTTCATTTGACTAAAATTACTTCATTTATTATATGTGCAAGATTTAAAAACTAAAAACTTAAATTTAATCCAGCAAGAATATTTCTTTTTATATAAAGGAATTGATCTCCAGTCACAAAATCTGATTTTCCTCTTTATCTTTGCATTTTAATGTTGAAGTACCTTAGATATTTCAAACCATGAATTATATTAGATCAAATAATAATAGTTTGAAAAATCAAAGGTTTACACCATCAGGTTGCAAGAATATAAAAATTTGAAAATCAGAATTTGTTACAAGAAACTCGATTCCTTTGTCTGAACAGATATTGAATTTTTCCTTAAAACTGAATTTGAATATTTTTGAATGGTTCTACCAAGATCGTTTTCAGCTCATTAACATTAACAACTTTCTCATCTCTGTAATCGTAAAAATTGGCTTTCTAATAAATATTATGATTTATAAAAAATTCTTTAAGTCTCAATGGGCACATAACCTCAATTCTCGTACACCATTATAAATACTTCTGAAATAGAAAAAATCTAAAAATGGAACAATATAGTTTTATTGTATTACACTATTGTTAAAATATTATATTTTTCATGAATAAATAAATTAACAAAAAGTCAACCATTATTAGAATTCATGATAAAAGTGGTTCATTAAATTATACATTTAATTACAATATTATTATTAAAGTTTGAAGTTTAATTTAGGGTAACAATAAAGTTATGAAAATACATATAATAGCGTTCTTGTACTGTATACATTAAAAATAACGATTTAAAAAAAATCCATTCTTCTGTGAAAGCAGGGAAAGTTTATGTTGTTGAACGACTTCTCCGAGGGCGGCCCTGGAGCCTTGTAACACAACCGTCTACAATTAGAACGTAATTGACGATTGAATTCTATCAACTTCGCATTTAGGATTGATGAAAACTGGTCAACGGAAAGGATAGAACTTTTCTAAAAAAAAACTTTGAAAAACAAAAACTAACTTAAGCAAAAGAAACTAAATGTTAAATTTATTCTTTAAAAATACATAAGTATTGAAAGCTGTCAGAAGTGGAATAATTTATTCTGGACAACTTATTAATTTTACTTCAATGATTAAATGTAATGAAAAATCTGAAAATGTTACCTATATCTCTAACTGTTAAACATAAGATATTTCATTAATCGGAATCTGAAAAATTCTTAATTTAATTAACAACACAGATAATTTGACAAATAAAATGCAAAAAAAAAAGCTAAATTTTTTTAGAAGGAAGTTCGACAAATGTATTCAATTTACAATTAATTTGTTCAATTTAAATCAAATTTTACAAATATGAAAGAAATCTACGTCAAATCTACGAAACACTAATTTTCAGTCCTACAGGGTCCAAAAGTCCATCTTTTTAGTGTCAGTCCGAGGTCTAGTCCAGCCGAGCTCTCTTGGGTTTCCTCTCCTCGTCCGCAACCTCGATCTTGATCCTGGAACCGAGGACGTCCTCGTTGTTAAGACAAGCCATTGCCTGACTGGAACTAAGCCTACTTCCGTATCTAGCATATCCACACTTCTTCCCTCGAATACAGACTGCGTCGATCAGATCACCGAATCTGCAGAAAAGATCAGTGATGATTGCTGGATCAGGGATTTCTCGGGCTTCCTTAAGAACAAAGAATAATCGTTCGTCGCATCTAGTATTGCTGGGGACACAGGGCTGGCGGGGCGGAAGCTTAGCAGAGCAGACGCTTTGAGCATCCACACTTCCTCCAGAGTACCCCATTGCCCCTCCCATACCCACACCTCCTCCTCCCATACCCATACCACCTCCTCCTCCCATCCCCGCTCCCCCCTCCATGACTCCACCCCCTCCTGCTCCGACTAAATTTCCAAACCCTGAGGATTTCAGAGTCTCTGTTGCTTGCTGAATAGTGCTGATCAGACTTTTGATGTCTGATGGAACATTTGCGACCTTATCCGACATACTGGCTCCTGGTCCCATACTCATACCAGCAGACATAGATCCAGTAGACTCATCAATCTTGATTTGTATCCTAGATCCAGTTGGATATTCAAACCCGTTAATCCTTTCCAGTGCATAAGCTGCTGACTGAGGGTTAGAGTATGTCACACAACCTATGGCACCTTCAGTAGTGATCTCAACTAAATCACAGCTGACTAGGCCAGGAACAATATTGAAGAGCATCCAGAACATGTCCTTACTAGTCGATGGATGGAAAAGAACTTTCAGTCTGCATGAGTTTGATGTTATGCTAGGATACTGCATCATGTTCATCATAGCAGACATAGTGTTCTGGTATCCAGCAACCATACCAGAATTGTAATCATACCCCCCTCCCATCCCACCACTTCCCATACCTCCACCTCCACTCATACCGTCCCAATGTCCTCCTCCTCCTCCCCCTCTTCCCTCACCCCTTCCTTCTCCCCTTCCTTCTCCCCTTCCTCCTCTTCCTGAAGCAGTTCCCTTCGGTTCAGCAAACTTAGCTCTGAAACTGGCGTCACAGTTTTCAAAAGCTCTTGCTGCGTGGGAGAATTTATGATAATTGACATAGGCCAGACCTCTGGGCTCTCCGGTTCCCTTGTCACGGACCAGAGACACATGCTCGACAGGTCCAAAGGCAGAAAATGCCTCAGTGATCTCCGATATCTCCATGGTTTTTGGAACCATGATAAAGAGCCTAGTTGCCGTGATATCCTCTGAAGGACCGGAGGCTCCATCTCCCCGATTGGAAGCGATCACAACCTTGATCGGCCTGGAATCAGAGCCGATCACTGTTCCATTCAACTCATCCAATGCCTCCGCAGCATCAGAGGTCTTCTTGAACTTGACGTATGAGAACCCCTTGTTGGTGTTGGTGGACCGGTCCTTCTTAACACTGAGATACTCAATCTCTCCGTACTGGGAGAACAGAGACCTTAGCTCGTCCTCGGAGGCAGATTTCCCTCCAATGACGAAAAGTCTTGAATATTTAGGTTCGTCCTCTTTAGGTGCCTCGTCATATCTACCACTTCCTCGTCTATAGTCCATTTTGTCCTGTCTCCGAGTGTATTTGTCCCGGAACTATTCCTGTCCTTGTCGTGTCTGTGTCTCCAACTGTCCTGGAAAATAAATTATGTCTTCATAAAGAGTTAAAATATTCATCATATCAAGCTGTCATTTAAATTTTAAAAAATCAAAAAAAAATTTAGTTAGTCAAATATATCAATAAATCATCAAGAAGCTGCAAACATGAAATTTTCCAAACAAAATAATATTTTCTATTTTCTCTTTCCCCGTAAATAAAATCACGATTGAATTACAAAATAAAACCACTCTTTTATTCATTTTCCCCAAACTGCATAATCATCAAGAATAAACCTAAGTAAATATTTAACCAAACAATAATTTTAAATAACTAATTGAATTTACAGCAACTGGAACAAACAAACAAACAAACAATCAACCATCATTCCGTAGAAGTCAGGGCTGAGACCTCATCAAAAATAGCCACATTGGAAAGTACTATCATCAAATATATAATCAAATCATTTTTATAAGTCAGGGTCTGGTTAAATTATGTCTTAAAATTGTCTGGCAAATATCGATCAAAAATTGCATCTAAAATGTGTTTTATGTATAAAATACAAAAGCAAACTTTTCAAGCAATCAATTTTTCATTTTTTTTTACCTTAGTCTTGGAGGTGTGAATGTGAACGATAAGTGTGGAATATGGATTGTTGATTTGGAAAATTCGGCCAGTTTCTAAAAAAATAAGAAACTTAAACTACCAATTTTGTAATTGGATTGACGATGGTGGAAGGTCTACTATGTTAGATTGTAAAGATAGAAGGAAGATAAAATTACAGTTTGATTCCAAGTTAACCTGTTTTGCCAAATATTTTTATCACATGACTCTCAGCTGACCCATAAAACACGACTAGGGAACATAACGTTTTCTTTGTACTTTTAAAAAATATGTTTAGGCTGACCCAGGTCTAAAAACCGGCTAAAAATCCTTAATTTTAAAAATCGGCAACTTTTGTTATTTTTTGGACATCTCAACCAAAAAGGGAGGGTCAGTTTGACCAACTTTAATCCATTTTGGAATCCTGTCTTTATTTTTTGAGGAATCTAAATGAAATTTTGCAGATGTGCATCAGTTGTGTTTAAACTAAGAAAAAAAAATTAGGAAAAAAATCTTTTCACATTTTCTGGATTCATTGATTCATTTTTCATCGAAAATAAAAAATCTTTTGCATACAGGCCATAATTACATAGTATTTTGGTAAAAAAAGCTTTTTTTAGGAATAAGTCTAATAAAAGACTAGCTAGGAATTTTAAACTCCTACATTTTTACTAAAATAAAATAAAAAGATCAACTGTAGTAGACTTTGACATCTACCATTAGCAAAGGGTGTGAACCCATACTCGTTGTCTGTAGTAGACTTTGACATCTACTATTAGCAAAGGGTGTGAACCCATTCTTGTTGACAGTAAAAAGGGTTGCGGCCCTAGTCCTGAATATATTTGCAAGCCTGTTGCATGCTTTCTCACAGAGAGAGGAGGTGTTGACACCTCAACTGCTTTCTCTTTTACAAAAAAAATCGTATTACGGCTGGTGTTCAAAAGTTCTTTGATTTTTGATAAAAACTAAATCCTTGTCTTTGAATCAGACTTTTTGGTAAAACCTTTTAACAACATGGAAAAAGAGGAAAAATACTTTTTCATCACTTATTTTTAGTACTATTCAATTGAGGGAAACGTGATAAAAAATCAGACTTTTTCGTGTAAAAGCTTTAAAATATTATTTTTACCTTTTTATTTTTTTTCTTAGTTTAAACACAAATGATGCGCATATGCCATTCAGATTCCTCCAAAAAATGAAGACAGGATTCCCAAATGTATTCAAATTGGTCAAACTGACCCATTTGAAATTTTTAAAACTTTCAACGGATTTAAGTTACCAGGAAAAATACTAAGAAATTGTGGGCCTTTAGGAAATTTATTTCCAAATAATGCCAAATAGAACTAGGAGTAATTTGGCAATTCTTTTTGTTAAAAGCAATATTACTGATATTTACATTGCAACCCCGATCCCAGGGTCGCAATGTTAGATTGCAACCCTAGGGATGCAATCTAACTAATTGCGAACTTTTCTGCCGAGAAGTTGCGGATTTACAACGTGGAAAACATTTATTAGATTTGATGTCTCAAAAATATGTGTTACAAGACAGTTTTTAAAACCTTAAGAAGGTTGATTTTTATGTAAATTAAAATTTTATACTTTGTTTAGAAGTGGACACATCTCCATAACATTTGATTAAAGTTGTAAAGTTGAAAGGCATTCACGAGAGGCAACAAAGATGCAATAAATATAGAAAGGAACATTACATTACATAAAAAGTTAACTACATAAAAAGGCAATTTTCTTTATTTTTGTTGATACTATTTTCCAAAAAATGTATCATATTTTCCATTTCCTTTTTCCAAATCAGCGAGTAAAATACATAAAAAATTTGTTTGCGCTCGGCGCATACATTTACGAACTATGTGGAAAAATATTATTCATTTCAAGCATTCAAAACTCCATTCAATAAGTCGTAGAGAAAAATTAAAAAAATTATAATTACCTTGATAAAATAAAAAATCGATGATTCCAGTCCCTTTCAATCAAATAATCGATTTTTTCCAACTGTTTTTTTCTGCTCTGAAATTGATAATTTATTATAAAAAACCTTACAGATTATTTACTACGGGCAAAATAATAATCGAGACAAAAACAGAAATTTTTGCTGAAAAATAATTAACAAAAATGTTTTGAACAAATTTAGTTTACTGCTGACGGACAATTTTACATTTACGAAGTACATACAAGAAATACAACAGTTTAGTGTATCAACCAGTTTTAACGACTGATTCATTTTAAAAAATGTGAGAGAAGTATATTGTTTTAGTTCTGACATAAATGTTATGAGTAAATTAGTTGGTTGTGAGAAGTACATATTTAGAGACGTAGTTGAATAGTTGTTTGTTCAAGTTGACAAATGTTTTTGTTCTCTTAAGAATTTACAATAATAGGAATAACCCTGTCACCAATCAAAATCCAAAAAAAGATCAACTCATTTTCATTTCAATTTTTAATTTTCAAGTGTCCCAAGCGTTGCTAAATTTTTAAAAGTTTTCTGTTCATCAATTCACACAACCCTAGCCCGCTTTGGTCTTCTATCTTCATCAGCAACTTCAACCTTGATTCTTGACCCCAGGAGATCTTCTCCGTTCAGAACAGAAATAGCATGGGTTGCACTCTCCTTATTCGCATAACGCGCATACCCGCATTTCTTGCCGCGGATGCATTGCGCGTCAATGAGATTTCCAAATCTGCAGAATGTGTCAGTGATAATGGCCGGGTCGGGGAGCTCCATAGCTTCTCTCATCACAAAGAACAGACGCTCTTCTGTCTTTGTGTTTGCTGGGAGAACGGGTTGCTTCGGAGGTAGTTTAGCAGAGCACACATTTTGGGCATCCACAGATCCATTCTTGTATCCAAGAGTATTCATTCCTCCCATACTAGCCCCTCCTCCTCCTCCCATGCCCGCTCCTACCCCTGGTGTCCCTCCTCCCACTAGGTTTCCAAATCCAGTTGATTTTAGAGTCTCAGTTGCCTGCTGGATAGTGTTGATCAAACTCTTGATGTCTGATGGAACATTTGCATTTCCATTCGAGTGCTCAGACATACTTCCAACACTTCCTCCCACCCCTGATCCAGGTCCCATACTCATACCAGTAGACATAGATCCAGTAGACTCATCAATCTTGATCTGTATCCTAGATCCAGTTGGATATTCAAACCCGTTAATCCGTTCCAGGGCATAAGCTGCAGACTGAGGGTTAGAGTATGTCACACAGCCTATGGCACCTTCAGTAGTGATCTCAACTAAATCACAGCTGACTAGGCCAGGGACAATATTGAAGAGCATCCAGAACATGTCCTTACTAACAGACGGATTAAAGAGAACCTTCAGTCTGCAGGAGGTGCTCATAGTCTGTTGATACTGCATCATGCCCATCATCGTCTGTGATGCAGCCTGCTGATACCCACCCATATCTCCATATCCTCCTCCCATACCCCCCATGCTTCCCATACCTCCCATACTTCCCATACTGTTCATGCTTCCCATGTTATCATGACGGTTTCCCATATGGGCATCCTTGCCAACAATGGTTTTAGTTTTAGGTTCAGCAAACTGCGCCTGGAAACTTCGGTCAGCATTTTCTACGGCAGTAGCAGCATCAGAGAACTTATGGTAGTTGACGTAAGCCAAACCTCTAGGATTTCCTGTAGCCTTGTCACGAACCAGAGACACATGCTCGACAGATCCGAATGCAGAAAATGCATCCTTGATATCTGGAATCTCCATGGTTTTGGGGACTTTGATGAACAGCCTGGTGGCAGTGATCTCTTCGTTAGGTCCCTCCGTTCTCTCAGATGCAATAACAACCTTGATGGGTCTAGTGTCTGTTCCAATACACTTTCCACTCATCTCCTCCAAGGCAATGGCAGCCTGAGAGGTTTTCTTGAACTTGACGTAGGCAAACCCCTTGTTCGCCATGGTGTTCCTGTCCTTTTTCACGCTCACGAACTCAACCTCTCCAAACTCTGAGAAGATACGTCTCATCTCATCTTCAGAACAGGACTTGCCCCCAATGATGAACAACCTGGAGTATCTGGGTTCCTCATGCCTGGTTCCTCCCTGCTCGTCAAACCTACTTGATCTTCTGTAATCCATGGTTTCAAGAGTTGTAAAGTGTTCTCTGTATCCTGTCTCTGGTTCAGTGTATTGTTCTCAACTGTATTCTGTCTTTGGGTCCTGTAAATAGAATAATCTCAGCTTCTGTAAACATAACTTTTATTCATTTATTTAAAGAGACATTTCTAAAAAGAAAATGAAATATTTTGAAAATTAACTTAGAATGTGAAGATTGCATATTGAATAAAATTGCTCAAAGGTCTTAATCCTCTAAAATAAGTTATGTTTAAAGTAGAGTATCAGTTGAAAATCAGTCGAGTATTGTTAAATGTATTCAAATTTTCAAATTCTTAATTGGAATAAATCAGTCAAATTGTGTTTATTGTTGGTCAAAGAAACTTGTACATTGTAAAAGTGTTAAGTGCATTGTAAACAAACTTCAGTTTTGCAGGAATATTCCTTCTCATATATCACCCCCATTGGGGGGAAAATAAAATAAAAATGTTTGTTATGTACCTGAAAAAGGGACGCCAAACTACTCCAGATTCTCACAAACAACTAAATAAATAAAAAAGGATCAATAAAAAATTTCCAATGAAATCAAAAATGTGCAAAAGTAATAAATTCTTATAATTTTTAGGAATGTATAGAAGAATTTGTCTGAAAAACGTTGCAAGCTCCCAAATTTTTTGAAATTTTTGTAAAAATAAAAAAATTGATGATTACGCGTTTTCTATTTTTCCTTTTCTAAGGCTGCGACCTGGCAAGCCAAAAAAGGGCTTTTTAAAAGAAAATTTTTAAGAGATGAGCACGAAAATTAGGGCCTGTATGTTTTGTTTTTCTACCTGATACCTTCAGTTAACTTAATATTTTTAATATTTATAACGGCTGTTATAAAAAATGTTCGAAAAATGTGGAATGTTTAGTAAATTAAAATAGTTGCCTTTTGACAAATCATCAAAAATCACCCCCCCCCCCCCCCCNGGAACCCCTAGACTGCATTCAGGGCACAGCGCCACACTGCAGCTGTGAATGTTTAGTTAATTTGTGACCCAAGAAATTACTTATAAACGATTATTACAATTTTAGTCTCATCATTGACCTAATCAGTGGTAACATCTAAAAAGAGCTTTAAATAAAAAAGCAAGAACTAGCTCAAAAAAGTGTTTAAAAGATCATAAATTTTTCATTTTTTTTTTTAACTTCGTGATATATGTTATAAATCCTTCAAGATTTTTAAGACAGAATTGCCGACAATTATTCCACGGTTTTCTGGTGGTTTCTTCTGTACAGTGTACAATAACGAACATACTATATAATCATTTTTATGTTTAATTAGTACCTGGATCAAAAGTCAGTATTGAAGATTTAACTACTGGATTACAATCTGTAGTACACTTGTACAATCTGAAATAATAACACATAAAATAAACTGATCCAACCAAATCAAACCAGACATTTTAATAGATTGTTGTGAACGCTTAAACATCAAATAAAAGCTGAACTAAGAAAAAAATGTTTTGTTGTTCTAATAACAAATAATTTTGTTAAGAAAAATTATTTTTCTAGATTTTGTGAACTTTCAAAGAACTGACGGAATATGCTTGCTGACGGAATAAGAGCATTAAAGCTCATTATCATTATTAAAGTGTCATTTTAAAAACATTTGTGGAGGTCAAAAGAAGGTCGCATGTTTGAGGACACATAAAATCAATCTTTAATAATCTGTTTTCCGTTTCTTGTATTCCTTCTGATACTTCTCAGGTTCGGCTTTCTCCACCTTTAAGAACCCACCACTGAACCCTGCTCCGTTCAACATCTTAATACACTTCTCCGCGCTCTCAATACTAGAATACCGCGCGTATCCGCACTTTTTCCCGGAGAGACAATGCGCGTTGACAAGGTTTCCGAATCTACAGAAAAGGTCCGTGATCATTTCAGGTTGAGGATGATCATATGAATCTCGGATGACAAAGAAAAGTCTTTGTTTGACGTCGACGTCGTGGGTTACAACGTCTTGGGGTGGCGGAAGTCGAACAGAACTTCTTTGGTTTACCTCCTGGCTCAGCGGAGTGAGTGGAGGGTAGCCAGCGGATGTATTTCCTCCTCCGGCGTCTCCTACACCACCATATCCACTTCCGAAACCGCCTCCCATACCACTGCCTCCAATACCACCACCTCCCATACTTCCACCTCCCATACCTCCACCTCCCATACCTCCACCTCCCATACCTCCACCTCCCATACCTCCACCTCCCATACCTCCACCTCCCATACCTCCACCTCCAAACTTGTCATTCATATACCCGTAGTTGCTCACATTTCCGTATCCATATCCGGAACCAAACCCCGGGGTTTCATCCGGTAACCCGGATACAGATATATTATATCCAGTTCCCTTTAGAGCACTAGTCGCCTCCTTTATGGTGTTAAGAAGAGTGCTGACTTTGCTGTCTACGCCTGTGGCCATGTTGGCCACAGTTGCAAACTGAACCTCAAGCTTTGAACCCAGGGGATACTCTAGACCGTTTATTCTTTCCACGGCATGGGCAGCAGACTGTGGGTTGTCATAGGTGGCGCCACCCATAGCTCCTTGTGACGTCATATCCAGGAACTCTATGTCTACAAACCCGGGGATTATATTGAAGATACCGGAAAGATTATCCTTGCTCAGAGACGGATGGAAAAGCACTCTAACCTTGGTGCACTGGTTGTTATACTGAGGAAGGTTGGATTGACCATACTGGGCTCCAGGTCTTAGAGCCATAGCTCCCGAGTTCATACCGCTCCTGAATCCTGAAGAAACCATGTTTCCTCCTCCCTGGACCCCTTCAACCTTCTCCTTCTTTTTCGGTAGAACAAAATGCGGAAAATAACTGGCTTTACAGTTTTCAAAACAGTGTGCTGCTTCTGAAAAGCAGGAAAACTTGAGGATTGCTTTCTTATTGTCGGACTTGGCATGAGTAATGTCGACTATATTGCCAAATGTGGAGAAAATGGATCGAATGTCATCAATCTCTGTATACTCTGGCATCTTGACAATAATCCTTTGTGGAATAATATCAGAGTTTGATGATCCGTCCTCCTTCCTTGCCCCCGCCACAGCAACATGAATATTATTCTTCTCTGCACCAAGCTGGGAGTTGTTTAGAGCCTCCACCGCAGCTGCAGCCTCGGAGGTTTTCTTATACTTGACAAACACATAACCACGATTCCCTCCCTTCACCTTATCCCTAGGGATTTGAAGGTATTCAATATCTCCATAGCGCTGGAATGCTTCGCGGACTTCGTCTTCGGTAAAATTAGGTCCGATGCTAACAAACAGCCTCGAACATGGAGGATGGTCCTCGCTTGACATACTAGATCAGAGATTAGGTCCAGGTTAGGTTTATCTAGGTCCAGAGGTCAGAGGTCGTCAATTATCCAACTTGAGGACCTGAGATAGACAAAATCAGGTATTCATAGTAATTGACAGGTTGACATGATATTGGTAGGCATTAAATGATAAGGTTTTCAGTTGATCAATAAGTTTTTAAAAATTATTTGAAACAATATCTCACCTCAGCTCTGGGTTCAGGAGATTTGGACTTGAAAGATTCTGAAAATATGAACAATTTAGGACTAGATATTACTTGAGATCCTTCAACAAAACCAAGAAGCATATTAGCAGTCAGTCAGCATTTAAGAACTATTGTATAATAAAAGTGCATGTAATTTTATAACTGGTTATTTAAATAAAATACAGGAGAGGGGGATTCTACAAAGTAAAAGTTAAAGAATCTCTGTAATCTTTAGCTGTTCTTGCTAATTCTTGTATAGTTAAAATTGTAAACTTTTCTGACATAACGAATAAATAGAAAAAGACTAGAATTATATATCATTTGTCAAACTTTTTTTGAACAATTAAAGATTGACACATAAGTTTAATATTCTCCAGTTCGAATGAAATGAAATGAAATCAAGTGTACATCTGAAAGGGAATCCAACGTGGAACCCCTAGACTGCATTCAGGGCACAGCGCCACACTGCAGCTGTGGCCTGTAGTTACAATTGTGAGGGCAAAATTAGGGTTAACTATTTGTATACTTTTACAGGATTTTAAATCAATAAAAAAATGTAAGACTTATCGATGCTTATTGCTTAGTGCTTATTTCAAGTTTGCGTATTCTCCCAAAAATACTGAAGTATTACTAGGGTGGAAATAAATATCCCTTATCAAATATTGAATAACTAGTTTGGGAACCCAGCTTGGTCTGGAAATTTAAACTTTCCCTGTGAAAATCGACCAATTCAATTTAAAATTTATAAACCAAGCTAAAAAAATTCCCATGGTTTTACCGAATTCCCCATTAAAATTTGAGGCAAATCGGTCTAGGATTTCATGAGTTATGATCGGGCATACAAACAAAGATTACTAATTTATATATAATATATGTTGTGTTATCTTCTAAAGGTTTTCTCTCCGTTGAATCTGGAAGGATCAGCAATCTCTACTCTGAGAGCACATCCGAGTAAAGATGAATCCTTCAAGGTATTTAAACATTTATGCGCACTTTCATCACTGCTAAACTTGGCAAACCCGCAGCTCTTTCCTCTCATACAGCGAGCCTTCAACAAAAAATCTTTAAAATATTTTCTTTGAAATTCATCGAAAATTTAAAATAAAATTTGTTTTTTTTAAAAAAATCCCCCCCCCCCCAGAAATAAACTATGTTTGGGAAACTTTTGGGAGTTTTTTTCGCTGAATTGGAGTAATTAAAATAAATAAATTTTTCGGTTAAATAAAAGAAAAATGTCCAAGTTTTTTTTCCCAATCTTCACGAATAATTTCCTTCCCTTACCCTCCCAAAAAAATCTCTTAAAAATATACACCCCTGGAAGTATTTACCTCAACAAGATTTCCAAACCTAGAGAACAAATTTTCCACCAGCTGCTGGGTGGGTGAACCCGCCAGTTGTTTTATAACAAAGAAAATACTTGTCACAACCTTAAACCAGGAATACATATTTTATTTATTTTTAGAGAAATAAAACAAGTAAGTTTGATTTTCCTCTAAATCCTTAATTAATCCACTGTGTTAACCCTTAAGGGCCACTAAATTAAATATAAAAAATAATGATACTTATAGTATTCTGTGGGATAGTTATACTGAGCTGAAAACTTTGGAATCGCGGATATCAAGATTAATGCTTAAAATCCTGGTTTTACTAAACCCAAGATTATTTTAAATTGATTTAACCAATCAGCGTATCATGTTAAAACGGGTTTTGATTTTTGGTCTTGGTGGTGTCATATCAATTGAACTAAACATCGATTAAACGAACGTAAGCTTTGGATAAATGTTTATTAAGACTAACGTTCAAAATGACAAAAGTCCTAAAATACGTTTTTTAATAAGTTCATATTAACATGATTAAATTTATATTTGTTTAAATGCTCTAAAAGTCGGCTTGTGAACAGTTGACTGTGATACAATCGGATATTAGACCAATCGATATAGCATTGTATCTGTAATTGTCATCAAACGTAACTTTTATACAGTAGAAATATCCAAAAAGAGGATTATAAGAAGAAAATCAAAAGTGTGTACATTGAATAATCAGATTAAGCAATCGTGATAAAAAATATCTCATTCTAAAGTTCCTTTTTTGTAAGTAATACCGAAGACTGGAAATATTTTTACGTCAAGAAATAAAGAACATCGGAAAAAAACCGGGTATCCGCTTGCCAGATAAGTAAATTCCATTTTCGAAATAAAATTTTTCCGGAGATGGCGGGGGTTAAATATGAATCCTTGCCTCTGAGTTCTGATCCACAAGAGGTTCCGGTGGAGGAAGATCCACGGAGCAAACTATTCCTGCGTCTACTGCTGATGCTACATCATAAACTTGAGGAGGTGCAGGTGCTGGTTCAGGTTCAGGTTCAGGTTCAAGATCAGGTATAGGATCGGATATTGAGGTTTTGTCCAGAGGTATTAGTTCGAGATGGAAGAATGATTTTAAAGGATACTCCAGGCCCTGACAAAAATATTTGTTCAATTCCACGGATTTATTTTTTTCTATCCGTCTTATTCCAAAAACTTGTTTAAAATAGGGGAAGGGGGGACGATTTTAGAGGATATAGAAACGTCAAATTGAGACTTCAAACTTTCAAACTTGCAAGCTCCCACCATCTGTTGCCAATTTTTGGAAGAAAAAATCCTGGGGTGTCAAATCAAATCAAATCAAATCAAATCAAATTAGGCTTTTATGGATGTCCTACACCCACACACCAAAATTGAATTGACTATACTAAATCAATAATGAAGTGAGGTCTTATGATTTGTACTCTTTGTTTATTTTCACTTGATTGTTAAAGAAAATCCAATAAGAAGTTATTTTTATCACGGTCATAAACAAGAACGAAAATGTGTGAAATTAACAATTTACAATTTCAACCCCCCCCCCCCCTTCGATGCTCTGGGGGGGAAATTAATAATTGTACATTAAAAGGGAAGTTTATTCATCCGTTCTGGCACTTTTTACCTAAATATTAATCTATTTTTCCCTTCAAATCTTTCAGCAAATTTACCCTTAAAATAATTCTATCGTCTAGGGGAAAATAAATTGGACATTGCCATCTTTACATGGAGGCTCACTTGAAGTACGCACACAGTCCCTTCAAATTGTCATCAAATGAAAATCAAGTAAGAATTGAATGATAGAACCTGTCGACATTTTTATAGTGCCCTTTAATTTAAAGCGGGATCATCCTAATTACCAACACGGCTCAATTAAAACCTATGAATTATTTATCAATGAAAAATATTAATTATATAAAATTCAACATGGAAAATATTTCTTGTTGGTGGGGGTGGGGGAATAAGAATGGCTTTCGACATTTCCAGTTACAGATTTATCAAGTTTTTAAACAGTTTAATTATAAAGACCAACCTGTAGTTTTGTTAAAGCATGTTGAGCGTATTCCGTTGATGAGTAAGATACAAGACCAAGAGCCCCGTTAGACCCAACCTCCTGGAGTTGTAAACCAAGAAACCCTGGGATAATGTCAAATAGCCGGCTCACTTGATCAACACTTAGCACAGGGTTATACGCCACCCGGAGATTAGTTCTAACAGAGTGTTGAGCAAGGGTATCAGGTATATGGATTCCATTCGTCCTAGTGCTAGGGTTCAGATTCATCATCATAGGGTTCTGATACATGCTTGGGTTCTGGTACATCATCATGTAAGGCTCCGAGCCTACTGCGTTCATATCCGTGTTGTAGTGCTCGTAGGGATTGACATCTTCAAAGGCTCTCTTAATCCCACATTCTGGTTCAGGGGTATATATGTTTACGACCCTGGAGCTTAGCGTAACATAAGCAGTAGGACATTAACTTTGACTGTGGGTTGAATAATAATAATAGAAATAATAATAATAGTAAAAACCCCTTCCTGGTTTGTTTTTAGGAACTACAAGATATAATAATACTAGTATAAACCCCTTCCTGGTTTATGTTTAGGAACTACATTATATAATAATACTAGTATAAACCCCTTCCTGGTTTGTTTTTAGGAACTACAAGATATGCCGAGTACTCTACAAGCTGCTCGACACAGTTTGCTGCCTCGGAGAACTTGTCAAACCTAGCGTTGACCCTGGTGTTGGACTTGTTGTAGAAGTAGACCTCCTTCACGGTTCCGAACCTAGAGAGCATCTCCTCGACTTGATCCAGCTCCTGGGCTTCAGGTAGAGTAAAGGATATCAATCTATAGAATCGCATAACTAATTCTAGGCGACTCTACATTTGAAGAGAAGAAAAATAAAATTTCAAGTGACCCTCCGTTAATAAAGTAGCATACTTCATTTCTTAAAAAAAATTCTTGATTATTTTCATATATTGGTTCTCTAATACAATGACTTGCAGATTTATTCAGGCGATTAAGAATATTGTCGGAATTAATCCATTTTATGATCGAAAACGACGAATTTTTCTCAAAGTTGCTTAGATATATTTTAAAGAGTTACCGTTCGGAATAACACTCTTCAAATGAAGGGTCCTTAGAAATTACTTCTATACCGTCCCATTAAAAAGGATAGCAACACCATGCATACAAAGGTTTCAATACTCACAAATTGTTGACAAATAGAAAAATAAAGTTACTTGGAATATTTCAAGCAAAAAAATACCTCGGAATAATGTTCACAATATTTCCAGCCTCACTCCTCTGGGTTCCAGCAACGGAAACTTTCAACGCCAGATTCTCAAACTCTGTCCCGTCCAAACCCTCCAGCGCAGCTGCCGCGTCAGAAGTTTTAAAAAATTTGACAAACGCAAATCCGCGCTGGCGCACTTCCCCTTTAGCATTGGTTTTACGCGGGGCTTTGAATTCTTCAACCCTGCCGTAGGATTCTAACAATTCTCGTAGATTTGTTGGATTAAATACTGAGCCCAGGGAAATATAGAGTCGAGAGCAAGGAGGGATATCTTCCATTGTTCTCGACAAAGAGGGATAATCCTGAAATATAATGTTTAAATCTATAAAGCAAACATCTGTTTGTTTGAAACTCCGATTTGACTTAAATATTGATCGAGGGGAGGAAGGCCAGCCACAACAATTTCCCATCTGAGCCACATTCTCCTCATTTACTCGCAGAGCTACCTCGAAATTTTTTTAAAGAATATAGCCACACGTTAGGGCACAATTGAAATATTGATTTTTTTACATCAAAAAAAAAATAGTTTCAATTGATGCTTTCGAGTTTTATGTCCTTAGATATTCCTGGAGTGGAATGCCGCAAATAATTCCGAGTTTTTGTTAATTAAAGTGAAAACAAATGAATTTCTCCGGTTGGTTCCTTGGGGAAAATGATAGGCAGACGTAAGTCAAATATTTTGCTATTTATTTTATATCGTCAAGGTTAGCCATTACGGAGGCAGAAGTGATTTAAGTTTTACCTAAATAAAGTTTGACATCATGCCGAGTACTGCGGCTAGGACAGGCTTGGGGGCCGAGCGCTGCGGCCATGGCTGTAAAAATCGTTAGAATATAGTCTTTTTAATTTTAAGTTTAGAGAAGACGACATTAAATTAGTTTTGAGACTCCCATTTTTTTTAAGCATTTCCTTGGCGAGACGTTTCCATAGCACCATCATTCTCATGGGTCTGAAGTTTCCAACATGAAATAAAAATCATTGCAATAATACGTAAGTCCATATTTTATGCCCTAACGTGGCCAGACTTTTATAAATAGTTTTATCTTAAAGACTTGCATTTTAAAATACATAAAACCCTAAGGACGAGGTGGCTTGGACTAGGAAATGAGGAAAATGTGGCTCGGACGGGAAATTGATGCGACTGGCCTTCCTCCCCTCACAAGACAATCGTTCATTGAGAACGTTTCAAATGATTATTTTGCTAAAACTGTTAAAAAAATACCTGAAGTTGACTATATTCGTTAAAATTTTTCTTGAATCTTAGATAATTGAATGATTATTAAATTATCCGCCCATCTTAGGTTAATGTTATCTGAAATGTTGGGACATTAATTGACCAATTAAAAACATGGTCAAATGTGCCACTTCATTACTAATTACAGAAACAGGATATCACAAGAAGTAATTAAAACAGTTTATGTAAGGAAAGCTAAATTTTTATAAAACAAAGAATTGTTTGGATATTTCAGCAAAGTTTAGAGATGAATCGTCTGTTAAAGATTGTAAATTTATCAAAATTTTGGTTTCATTGACATTCTAAAACAAAAATACAATGTGTCCGACTGAACATGATAATTGAGGTACAAATAAAGATTGTAGTTGTAGCTTTAAAAAAATCAGATACCAAGAAGCTTTCGAAAATGTGGTCTGCATTCTTTTTAACTAAAAAATCGACGGAGATGCTGAATTTCAGAGCACATACAAAACATATCATCACGAAACATATCAAAACAAAACCTATCAAATCAATGCATATCAAAACAGAACATATCCGACTACTAAACATATCAAACCAAAACATTAAAAAAACACTTAAGTTGTATTCGAGTTGAACAAATTTTAAAACTAACGTAACTCTTCTTATACAATGTGTGAACTGTGAATAACAAAATCCGGGAATTATAAAAAAAAATCACAAATTAGTTCCATCCAGAATGTAAAAGTGAAAGCACGGAAGCAACTTTTGTTCTCTCTCAAATGGGAACAAACCTATTTTGCGTTTAGATTTTTCTAGAATTGGATTTGTTTTGTATTTTGATTTTTATGGTATTTTTTCTGTCATTATCTGAGAAATTTATTATTTGATATGTTTTCTAGGAGATATGTTTTCATTTAATATGTTTCGTTTTGATATGTTTCGTTGTGATATGTTTAGTGATGATGTTTTGTATGTGCTCCTGAATTTTAGACAATAATAATTTACAGAATGAAATCTGAACTAACTTTTGTTTGAAAGCACAAAAAAGACGGAACACGCTTTGATAATTTCAGACCTAACAGTGTAGTATTTCTTCTAAGAATGGTAAAAAAACTGTACTTTAAGAAATTATCATAGGACACTTCAGAAAGGAATGTCTATGAAACTTAGGACCTCCATCTTTGCTCAAATAACCATTACAGTTCAAACCAAAAATCAGTAAGTTGAGGTTGGATGCTTGAATGAAATTAAGAATGTGTGCTTAAATGACTGACTAGTAGAGTGTTGTAGCTAAAACGTTTTGTACAAATACTGCAGTAAGACTTCATGTTATGAGTTGACAAATGATAAAGATAATTCGACTTGTGTGTAAATTTCAGCCGGCATGCTTGACAATGAAACTTTCGTACTTGGTTCTTCCTGACGCCCTTATAAACATAATTTGATTTCGTGATCCCATTCAGTTTAGCGGTTGAAGATGAAGTGCGATTCAAATCTGCATCCATTTTTAGATCATCATTTGCTTTGAGAACATTTCCATTAGCAGAACAACTTGTGGGCACTCTATCTTTAGCCGATAGTAAATGGTCCTCCGAAAGCGATTCATTATTCTCATCTAAATTTTCGTCAACAATAAAAGATGTAATTTCGTCAACTGGCGGTTTAATAGCTACAAGCGGTGGTTCCTTGTCCTTGTGTGGTATTTCTTTGTCTTCAGAACCTTCTAGCCCTGATTCTGCAACACCTTGTTCAGAACCTTCGTTGCGTTGATCAGAAGAAACGCTAGTAGTAGTATTTTGTTTGGCCAATTTTTTCTTTTTCGTTTTGTTTGAAACCATTTTCTTCTCCATAATCTTTATCTTAGTGTGACTGGGGTTGCAAACATGCTCTTCTAAATCTATGACAGTCTTCTTTCTCCTCTTACAGGTCTTGCACTTGAAAGGGAGAGCTTCACATGCATACTCTTGGTGGTGTCTCAACTTATTGGTAGAAGTGAAACTGAACAGTTTCCGGCATTGTTCACACCATCTTCTTTGTCGAGGGTATATGACTACTCCATTACTCCTGCAAATGATAAAAAAGATAAAATCTTTATCATAAGAGATTAATAACAAGTAAATTTAACCTTACCAAATAATTCTTGTTTTTCTTGTCTTTTTGTTGATGGGACTCTTTGACTTCAAATTTGTCTCATTTGTATCAGCCAATGGTGGTATTGGTTTCTCTTCTATAAATTTAGCTTGATGTATTGCTCCGGTTGAATGCTCTAGTAGATGTGATCTAATGTCATCGATAGTTTCTCTTCGTACTTCGCACTCCTCACACTTGAACATACTCTGCTTAGGATGAGTTTTAGAGTGATCCTTTATACATTCAGAGCTCTTAAAAGTGGCACCACACAGATCACAGGAAAATCTGATTAGATGCACTTTAAGCATAATTTCAAGTGAGATTCCATGTAAAGATGACAATACCCGATTTACAATGGTACCCTTGAAACCCTAATCTGCTCAACAATGTGTAAGAAAACATCGTTTTTCTGTCTCTAAGTGTTTATTTTGTGAGTTACTCCATTGCTCCTTATAAACAAGGAAAGGGCAGTGCCCTTATCACTTGTAAATCGAGCAATGCCATCTTTACATGGGAAAGGTGACTTAAAATTAGGCTAACAGACCCTGTAAGTGTAAAAGGTTACAGAAAAATGATTTTTAAAAAATAGAGAAAGAGAAAAAAGTTTTCCTTCAGGAATTGGCCTTTTTTACTCGGATAACTACCAACTTATTAACCAAAATGTCAACATAACGTTTATTCTCAAATCGCAAAACTCTGAACGTTTGGTTGGAAATGAACTTTTTAAGCTAATTATGATTATGAAAATAAAAATAAAAAAGAGATCCAGTGGAATTGTACTTGTTCACCCTTTAAAACATTTGAAGCATAGAGTAATCTAACGAAGAGGTAAAACTTAGCTCAGACCGACCAGTTTAAACCTAGGATATCAAATTAAAGCAGTTCTCAAAAGATTGGAGGAAAATGCAACTGATATGCTGGATTCCCAAAGTAAAGCTGCGCTCGAAAAGAAACTTAAATATCTCAACATGTTCACAATATGTTGATCCTCTAATCATACTAGGGCAGGGGTCCATATAATTCCATTTCTGATCCCAAATGGGATCGGGGTTGAAAGTACAGTTAGGGACATGAAAGTACACTTTAAATGTCATTGTGAACTTTGACAAGCTTTTGTGTACGTGTACTACACTTCAGAAATGTGTACTGCATTTGGGGTGTTAAAAGATGTAAATATTAGTATTTAATATAAGAGATAAATTATAGTATACAGAAAAATAAACACTCCCTTGCAGTAAACATTCTGCAGTATGGAATTTTTTCTACAACTTGGCATTATATTTCCAATGGTTTACATAAAAACATGGCTTATTTCTGCCCCTAATATCAATTAATCAACATTTGGGATTGATCAGATGGAATTATATGGACCCATGTACTAGGGTCAAGTCTCTAACATAGATTGGTCAACTGACGTTGATTTACAAAACAAGTTTGTAAGTCGGTTAAGAGATCGGCTAAGGAAAAGCTGGTCCATTAAAGGGTGACAGTTTACTACACAGATCGGCTAAGGGGTAAAATATACATACCTGTGTTTACAAACCATATTAAGTGTCTATCTAATTATCAATGCTAATTTTTAATTATCTACAACCACCAAAAGAAATACAATCCCACTCTATTCTAGTGTACAGTGTTAGATACGTAAACATATCGTTATGTACACAACCGACCACTCGATTAGTTAATTAATAGGGAGGTCGGTTGTGTACATCTGAGGTTAGCTTTACCTCTTCGTTTTATTACTCTATAATTTGGGGCCTCATTATATAAGTAAATAGAAAGATAACAAAGAAAGAAGGAGAGAAAGATTTTACCTATAGTCTGTATGGGATGAACACTTACTACAGTGTACGACATAGGATTTCTTATATGTGAATCTTTTATCACAAAATCCACATTTATACCTTTGCTTGACAGCGCCTTCAACACAATATCAGTTTAATATCGCAAGATAGTATTTTCATACCAAATTAATGATCAACTTAATAAAATCTCGACATTTTTAATGTCTGTCCATGTCTGGAAATGTAAAAAAAGAACAAATCGACAAAATTTGTGTGATTTTTGCGAATCGTCAAGAAATTCTTATTTCAAAATTTTTATTTTAAAAACAGAACAAACCACATTTATTCGATGTGTGACAAACTATAAAATAAAATGTTAAAATAAAAAATAAGCGGAAGGAATCAAATTCGATAGAGACAAAATAAAATGAAACTGAAATTTTCCTTGAATTTGGTCTATTTGCTTCTGAGTTAGTTTCTCCAGCTGGACAACTGGTAGCATCAGTTTGTGATTATCTGGTAGATTGTACTTAATTTTAGAACTTTCTGATAGAAAGGTTTTACAACTTTCTGATACAGAGGTTTTAGATGATGTAGGGCTTACTAACGAAAGATTTTCATCGGGAGAGGATTTTTTTGAAGAAATTCTTGAAATAGTCACTTCTTTTGAAATGCAAATTAGTTGTTTTTCCGCCCAGTTGTCAGGTTCAGGTTTAGAGTCAGGATTTGTCCTTGAACTTGTGCTGTAAACATTGCTGATTTGTATCGGTGATGTTTGCAAGGAACTCAACTTTTTTACTCCAATATTTAGTTTAGTTTTCAGTTTCTTGTTGTCATAAGTTGCTCCAGACCCGGAGGAGGACAAGCTCCGTTTCCTAACCCTGTTCATGTAGAAGTTTGCCAAGTTGTATTTGAACTCGTCGTTCTTCTTCATCTTCTCCTTCTGCTCTGGGGTTATACTCTTCTCACAGTTAGTTAGCTGATGGATCTTCTTGTTCGCTAAATCAAATTAAATAACGTAAAATCATGTCGATTCATGTCAAATCATGTCAAATCATGTCAAATCATGTCAAATTATGCCAAATTATGTCAAATCATGTCAAATCATGTCAATTCATGTCAAATCATGTCAAATCACGTCAAATCACGTCAAATCATGTCGAATTATGTCGAATTATATGGGTGCTATTTAGTTTGAACTACTGCTTTTGAACTATTGACATTTTGAACTATTTGTCGTTTGATCTATTGCACGTGGTACCACGTGTAGTAGTTCAAACGACCAATAGTTCAAACTATTTTTTGCTCATTTGAACTATTAATAAAATAGTTAACAATTGAGTCGAAAAATATATAGTTTAAATGAGCAAACAGTGTTGAGTGCATTGTTGTGGAAAGCTTCTTTCTGATTCATCTGAGACATATAAAACTTTTTAAAGATCTGTAAATCCTGAGTTTGAGCGCAAATTCAACGTTTGAAACTCCTACTTTGAAGGTGAATACGTTTTCAGGATTGTTTTTTTTTTAATTATTAAATAACGGCGAAAAATGAATTAAAAATCAAACAGTAATCTGATTATATAGTTGGGATCGAACATATTTCTCAAATTGAAATTTGTCAATTAATCAATGCTAGAATCATTTATTTCGTTTTTATCCCTATGTTGAATTTCTTATTTTCTTTGAATTTATTCGTAGATTTCTTCAAATTCTTCAATGTCGTCTTTTCAATAATAATTCAAGAAAATCTGCAGAAAATGTTTGTGAATAATGCGAACTAGAATAATGAGAAAATAGAAACAAATAATTGAACAAGAATACTTATTTTCGATGATAAGATTAATTTTTATTTTCTCAACAGGTTCCAAACAACTTAATAGTTTACTACAGAGTTTTGTTTACTTTTTATCTTTGTTATTTAATAATTGAAGAAAAAAAAATAATTCTGAAAACGTATCCACCCCCAAAGTAGAAGTTTTGAACGTCGAATTTGCGCTCAAACTTAGGATTTGGATCTTTTAAAAGTTTGATATGTCTCAAATGAATCTGAAAGAAGTTTTCCACAACACTGCATACTCAGTTCAACTACTTTACATAGCTGGTCACTCCCTTTAAAATGATTTTATGCAAGTAATTATGAAAATTAATTCTTGGCTTGTGTTGCGGAAGATTCACTCGCTCTAACTCGTGTACTATAAAGCATAAGGATCGCTAGGGTTTATCATAACAATAACGAAGATTGTATTGAAACAGGTTTATAATCCGTTTGAGCTTTTACAAATTGTATTGTAAACCGAAGCTTGAGATAGATAGATTTATAACTACCTGGACAACCGAAGTGTTGACTGCAGTGATTGCATGAATAAATCTTTGAAACCCAGCTTTCCATCCTAAGCAAGCCATATTAGAGATTCATTGCGAAAACCAAGTTAGGGATTCATATAACCAAACCAAATCAGGGATCAACAAAAAATCAAGCTTAATTAGGGTACTATAAAGACTAACCAAAATAGGGAATCCAATCAACAAACCAAATTATGGATCTAAAAAAACAGGCTATATTAACAAACCAAATTATGGATCTGAAAAAATCAGGCTATATTAACAAACCAAATTATGGATCTATAAAAACTACTCACATTTGGAATCTACAAAAACAACTTCAATTTTGATTCTAAAAAACTACCCAAATTTATTAAATCTACAAAAAAGCATAAGTAGGGATCAACAAAACAAAACCAAATCAGGGATTGTAAAGCAGACCAAATTAGGGATCCACACAAGCAAAACAAATAAGGCATCCACAAAACCCGCCCAAATAAGGGAGCATAAGATATTAAAACACGGAATAAAAAATCGAAAGATGACCAAACAAATGAATGATAAGCTCTTACTTTGATTTGTGTTTTTTTATATGAAACATGAAATCTCCAACTGTCTGATATCCAACCCTACACTCGTCACAGTTGAAGGATTTTCGCCAGTCCCCAGCTACCCTCTCTTCTTCAGTTCTCCCGGAGCTAGGGTGAGATAAGTCCCCGGATATTGGTTCAATAACCTAAGAAATTTAATCTGAGCATACTTTAGAAATTAAATACCCTTAATGCCGATCACTTAATCTGAATATCCACTGTGGACAATTTTGATATTGGCTTAATCCCCTCTTTTCCCCTCTTTTGGGATATTCCTACAGGATTCGACCGATGAGAAATCTCTCGTTAAATGGCGCGCAAAATTTCAAATTTCCCGGCTTTTGATACACCACTCTTATTTGTTGAATTTTATACACTTTGCTGGATACAAACTAATTCAAATTAATTTTGAGATTAATTAAATGAAGTGATCAAGCATTGATCTCAATATCCAGAAATCTCAAGTTTTCAGCTCAGAGGTCAGAACTTTTGTTTATCTCCTCAGGAGTCACTAATCCGCATCTTTTGTGGTTTACTAAACTCACTCAATTTATAACTCGATGAGACAGCTATTTCATACAGGGCCGAGTTTAGGTTTTAAGTAGCGAGCTTATTCCCTCCGCTCATACAAAAGGGTTGCAAATCAAATCGACACCAATGAAAAGATACAAGAAAAATTTAAAATACTTACGAGTTATCAGTTCCTGTTCATACTCTTTTAGATTTTGCAAGAAAGGAAACTTACCTTGTGGTTCCGTGACACGTGAAAATCCAGAAGAAGTAAGCTCAAAAACTTGTGGCAGGTTGAACAATAGAACTTCTCAGGGTTAGAGTGGTTTTCAAAATGCTCCTCTAAAAGAATAATCTTCTAAGGCTAGGATTTAAATCGAAGAGGGGGGAGGGGGTTACAAGCTTTATTCAAATGCACTTGTTTTAGCCGTAAATATAATATAGTACTTGTTTTTGGCCGTAAATATAATGTAGTACTTGTTTTAGCCGTAAATATAATGTAGTACTTGTTTTAGCCGTAAATATAATATAGTATTTGTTTTAGCCGTAAATATAATATAGTACTTGTTTTAGCCGTAAATATAATATAGTTTTTGTTTTAGCCGTAAATATAATATAGCACTTGTTTTGGCCGTAAATATAATATAGTACTTGTTTTTGGCCGTAAATATAATGTAGTACTTGTTTTAGCCGTAAATATAATATAGTACTTGTTTTTGGCCGTAAATATAATATAGTACTTGTTTTAGCCGTAAATATAATATAGTACTTGTTTTAGCCGTAAATATAATGTAGTACTTGTTTTAGCCGTAAATATAATATAGTATTTGTTTTAGCCGTAATGATTACTTAGCGGAAAAATAGCTTGCAACGTTTGGATCACTATGTATTACCTATTTATTGGAAAAAGTGACTTCAGATTTACAAAAACTGCCTAAGTCGTGAGGTACAGTCATAATTTGTGGCCGAATTTAAAGAATTTGAGCGGTAGTTTAAATTTAAGCCGCGGCTTAAATATGGTTGGTTCTACTTAAAACTGTACTAAAGTTTCAAGATTTAAGCCGGCGCTTAATTTAAACAGGGTTTTGGCAGATTTAAACCGCGGCTCAAATTCTTTAAATTGAATCTCAGGATGTTAAAAAAAGATCTCATTAAGAGTAAAATTATTAATGAACTATAAAACATTTCATTTCTTACCTAAACATTTGTTTGTTTCAAGCTGATGTCTACAGACGGTGCACTGAGTATCCGTCAAACTATACAAGTTTTTAAATCTAGTTTCAACAATTTGATCAGCTTCCGGGTTCCAATCTACAGGATCATCCAGGTCGGAGTTATCCGAGTAGTTTGGATTCAAGGTCGGAAGACCAGTCTTCCAAACCTCTTTCTTGGGAGGAGATTTCGGAGGCGGGGTTGGGATGATTAGACTTTCGTTGGTATCAACCCCAACCCTTTCCAGCTGAACCACACACTTGGATATGTTTGTAAGCAGTTTTTTCTTTAACAGTTCCTCCGATTTAGGCTTTTTCTTAAACGGTCGGCCCCGCTTTTTTATAGAAAGAGGTTTATCATTTTTCCCATAGATCTCTTTTTCCGGACTAATTAAACTTTGGACAGGTTTGAAAATCTTTTCTGATGAGTAGTGTTTTGAATGTTGTGCATATGTTTTGCAAAGTGTATTATCGGAACCTCTGCTTGGCGGAGAGGCATTCTCCAGCAATAACTCTGCCATAGAACTCTCTGTAGAGGGAAGAATTACAGAGGTTGCACTATCAGAGTAGGATGACAGACCGCTGTCAAGGTGTAGATCTCTGGGTGTAAAAATTAAGTTGGATCCGGGCCCAGGACTGGACCCGGAGCTGGATCCAGGACCCGGCCAACAAACTTCATCATTCGTTACATCAAGATTTATTTCTTCCTAAAAACCATAACGTCATCATGATAGAATATGCTTTAGAGAGTACCGCAAAGGACTATTATGCTATATTTTGACTTAACAATAATACAGACAGAATAATTAATCGACAATTTCCTTTATGAATTAATAAATGAAAACCAATCATGTCTCCTTGAGAATTCATAATTTCTTTCACATCGTCTAATAATACTTGACTATACCCCCCCCCTTATTTTAGTTCTGTTTAATAAAAACTACCATCTTATCCCTTTTATTAACCAATGTTTTTCATTAACGAATTCTTTATCGTTTGTAATAAATTTGTTAACCAACTTATTTATATTATCCTCCATAAAATCGTGTGGTTCCGAAATTAACGAATTAAGCAATATGGCGACGGGGTATTTTTGACTGCAAGAACGGAATTAATGTCATAAAGAATCTTGACTAACCTTAATTTGAATGTTATCCTGGTAGACCTGACTAGTGTTTAAACTCGTGTTTAAGCTCCGAGTTGTAACAATTAGGTCATCTGAGTTGAATATATCAATCTGAAGGAGTTTCAGGATCATCTTTATACTCTTGGCGTTCTCCTTACTCCCTTCAACCTCACCATACAACAGCAGAGCATTTAGTAAACAAACCTGAGGAGAAAAGATCAAATGGGTTGAAAATTTATAAAAAGTCGAGACATAAACAAAACTTTATTTTAGCCCAATTGACTTGCTGTTAGGGTAAAATAAGTTTCATCAAAAGAAAAGTTTTTATTGGTTAAAAATTGTGCAAATATACTAATCTTTGTATTTAGCATTGCCAGTCCTTTCTAAAATAAATGATGATCATAAATCAAAATCAGAATTCGTAATATTCCTTGATATATTCTTAATTCTAATTAGATATTACATTAATAATATAAGTTAAAAACTACCTCTAGTTGTGTTGCATCAGGTAACGAGATCTGTATACTGGAGTCCAACACTATATAGTTCCCTACTCAATCCATCAATCAAGTTTTCATCATACAGGGTTATATACAAAGGATAAGACTACAGAGACGACCGTACGAAATTCATACTGTCCGTTTCCTTGCATTCTTGTTTCTTTATTTGCTAAATCAATGCATTGAATGGCATTAAAAAAGACTATATTTTAATTATCTTTGTAGTCTCGTCTTTTGTGGGTAACCCTGTAGAAAGCCTAAAAATTAAGAAAGAATAGTACATCATGGATATTCTGTAAGATTGTCATAATTTTAATCCAGCCTCCAATTAAAGAGGGAAAAGCCCGAATCACAAATGTACCATTTAAACCTTTAATCTTTGATTTACAGGTTCATAGGATGCTTCAAGCCCCACTTTTCTAGCAACAATTTTAGCATTTAAAAATGTTACTAGAAAATAGAGTAAAATGCAAGAAGCATTATGTAAATATCTGTGTATTTTTTAATATTGTTTCTACATAGATTTTACGTAGATTTGTAACATTTTTGGTTCAATAAAAGTTTGAAAGAGAGAGAGAAAAGGAGCTATTTCTCAGCGGACATACCACTTTATAAATGTCAATTTAGAATACGTTTTCATTCCCTTTAATTTACATGATAAAAGCAAAAAACAATATCAGTTTTTAACCCTTTTAAACATCTGTTTCTTTGAAGTTTTTACAAAAAAAGCACGTTTTGAATGAATTTAATTAGTGAAGATGGATGGATTCCTGTGGATTTAAACTGTGTCTCTGAGATGATGTTCTTCATATATTTACTGGAGGCTGATAGTAAACTTCCAGACAGAAGGCATACACCATCTAGGTTTAACATTATGATATATATTTACTGGAGGCTGCTGATAGTAAACTTCCAGACAGAAGGCATACACCATCTAGGTTTAACATTATGATATATATTTACTGGAGGCTAATAGTAAACTTCAAGAGAGAAGGCATACACCATCTAGGTTTAACATAATGATATATATTTACTGGAGGTGGATAGTAAACTTCAAGACAGAAGGCATACTCCATCTAGGTTTAACATTGATATATATTTACTGGAGGCTGATAGTAAACTTCCAGACAGAAGGCATACTCCATCTAGGTTTAACATAATGATATATAGTTACTGAAGGCTGATAGTAAACTTCCAGACAGAAGGCATACTCCATCTAGGTTTAACATAATAATATATATTTACTGGAGGCTGATAGTAAACTTCAAGACAGAAGGCATACACCATCCAGGTTTAACTTTTTGATAAATATTTACTGGAGGCTGATAGTAATCTTCAAGACAGAAGGCATACACCATGCAGGTTTAACATCATGTCATGCTACAAACAGAGCCCATTGAGGATAAGTGGGGGGAAGGGGTATTTCACAAATAAGTCGGCTTTGAAAAATTGGGCTGTTAACTTGTGCAATTTGTGAGAGAGAGGGTTGAAAGACATGTGAGTACTGAGTATTCATAAAACTCATTTACCCTGCAGAATTATGAAGTTATTTCTTTTACCGCCCTTTTGACCTACAATTCAGACCTATGATTCCCCTAACATTGAGACGTTAAGTTACTTTACATCCCTTGTGACAATTATGTAAAGAAAAAACCACCCGCTCTGTAGAGTTTTTGGAAAATTCTGTCATTTTCATCAAAAACGCTAAATATAACAATTCCCTCGCTGGGCTCTGGATGTTTTGAAAGAACAATTGGTCTTGGGAACCCTTGAAGTAAAATTCCCTTAACTTCCGTGGAAGTAGTTGTTATTTTTATTTTATTTATAATCAAAAGACAACCAACCCGTCATTCAATGAGATTTTAAATAATGATAATAAAGTTCAATTACCTGAACAGTGCACAATTATGTCTCCTTGAGAATTCATCAGTTCTTTCACATCGTCCAAAAATACTGGAATATCAAAATAATTAATGAGAAACAGGGAGCACCGGCGCAAATGGGAGGTTATGGTTCACAATGGCAGTTTAGAGAGGAGTATTATAAAATGTTTTCACGATTTGGACTGCTATATAAGACCGAAGACTTCCTCTTTAAAACAAACGAGGAAGAATTAATCTGGAGGGTTGTCTTTAATGCTCGATTTTTAAAAATAATTTAATAATAATGTCAAATGAACTCTGAGATGAAAACTTTAGAATGAGATTTCCTTAATCCCGATTACTTAATCTGAGTATCCATTGGACACACTTTTGATTTTCTTCTTAAACCGTTCTTTCTTGGATATAGTAGAGAAAAATCAAAAACCTTTTTTTAATTAGAGAGTTCCTCCCGTTTCTGCATATAAATCTTAAATGGCGCGCAAAATTTCAAATTTATCGGCTTCATATACGCGACTCTGATTGGTTGAATTTTATACACTTTTCAGGATTCAAGTACAAGATTCGGTTAGTCTCGATATTAAGAAAAAGGGAGGATCAAGCATTAATCTCAATATCCACCATTCTAAAGTTTTCAGCTGAAATTATGAAAATACCTTGGTTAGGAATTTCTGCCACTGGATGATAAAATCTGTGAAATTTCATTTTAGTTCTGCAAACAGTTTTTAGTTTATATAAACAATAGAACCACAATTCATTTGTATCTTCTATACAAAACATGTAGATAATTACAATAATAATAATAATCCGATTTCTAGACTGTATGGAGGTCTACAGCGTACATTACACTGTCTGGTTGTGTACCACTTTACAAATGTACACTGCGAGCTGGGTCAAGGACTCCTTTGCTGGAGTAAAGAAAGAAAAGGTTGGATTCAACTCTTATTAGCAGATTTCCTAGATCCACTCAAACCTAGAAAGTTTAATATCTTATTATAAATAATAAAAAAAATACAAGATTAACCATCATTACGTAAAAAATCAAGACCGAGCCCCCATCAGAAATAACCGCCACAGGACAGATATTATCTGTTTGTTATTGTAATGGGTATTATGTTATTGTAATGGGTATTATTAAGTGCGAAAAAGCTTGTCTGGATTTTTATTTTTTCTAGTTTCTTTACGATCAAAATAAAATTATTTTCACACCGAACGTTTTTCGCACGCATGATACCCATTTCAATAACATATGTAGTTTTATTCAGTTTTACTCAAATCATTTAAAAGCAGGTCGATAAAGTTACTTCAACACCCTGTTGTAGGGTGATTAAATAACTTTATCACCCTACAAAAAGACAAATTAGGTATGAAATTTGAAATTTTAATAGCAGGGTGAAAAAGTTACTTTCATCACTAATTGGTGGAGGAAAAAAGTTTTGTGTAAACAAATTCTAAAAGAGAAAAATACTATTAAAAACTTAATTAAAAATCTATTAAAAGACTGACCTAAAGAAATCATCAAAGCTTCCGGATTAGGATCCCGTCCGCGAAGTTCACGGAATATTTCAACCATTGGGGCGGAACTTCCGGCGGAGAGAAGAGTTCTAGTTATTCGCCTTGAAACTTTACTAATTGCCTCCTTGTCCTCCCAACCTGACTCCCAATAGGCGGAGAATACGTCCGCCGCCAACATTCGGCTCCACAGATGACTATAATATCCAGCAGCCAAGTTTCCTAATACAGAGGGAAAAATTTAGAACATAATTCGCAATCATCTAAATTGATAAATAGAAGTTAAATGAAGATTTCAAACTAAAGTTGAAAATTTTGATCAGGGAGTTTACAATAAATTATGCCTTCAGCTAGACCTTTAAAGGACGGTTAAGACGCACTAATTGGTTGAATAAATTTCTATCTGTTGCAACTAATCTAAATCCCTCCCCCTTTTCTTCTTCTTCGGGTACTTTTTGTTCAATTTTCAAGTTGGTGTTTAGCCATAGGCAAGGTATTGGAAATTATCTCGAAATATATGCCATCAACCACGCAATCGAAAAACGATTTACTATAAAAAGATTTAATAAATTTGAGACGGTTCAACCACGTTATATCTTGAATCAGTGATAAAGGATTTTTCCACGTCCTATAAATGTTAACTCCACGGATGCACTACAGATAAGTAGTTGAATCGACCGTAGGTAGTTCAACGACCTATCTCAAATTCGATAAATTAATCAATCACCTGTTAAGATATCCTCAAAGTAAAGTGGGAAACAATCCTCCCTCTCCCTGGCTAGCACCAGGTACTGAGGGGTTAGTCGGTCAACCAGAGCCTGAAATATCAAGTATTATCGGGACATATCCTCCATGTCTGATTCACACCAGTATCTCAAGAAGCATTAAACATGGCTTGATTTAATTACTCAATAATGTTCAATCAAATCAAAGAAAGGCTGTGAAAAGTAAGCTTTTTTACTGTCGATAATTTCTTGAGATGGTGCCTTTATTCAAAACAATTTTTACGGATTTTGTAGCTAGCCATTTTCGTTTTTGCGTGGTACGATAAAGGAATAAATCAATGAGAAACATGTGTTGCATAATGCATAATGCATACCACCTTATATTGATAAACCAACTACCTGATATTGTTCATTTTCAAAATCCTCGGAGTAGAAACTGATATCAAACGCAGCCTAAACATTATATTTTCAGTAAATTCTTGCTTTGATAAAAATTAAATTGTTTGTGTTGATCAAACCTTAAAAGACCAGGTCAACCCAGGTCAACCCAGGTCAAACCAGATCAAACCAGATCAAACCAGATCAAACCAGATCAACCCAGATCAACTCAGATCAACCCAGGTCAAACCAGATCAAACCAGATCAAACCAGATCAAACCAGATCAAACCATATCAAACCAGATCAATCCAGATCAAACCAGATCAAGCCAGACAAAACAAAATCAAACAAGATCAAACAATATCAAAAAAGATCTAACCACAACAAAATCAAATCAAATCATGTCAAATATAAATTCAAACACGAAACAATCCTTCTAACCTTAAAAAGTTCATGTGAAGTAGCGTATCCTGACATATGCTTCTTAGCCTGGATCTGGTTTTCAACTTGAACAGGACTTAGTTCCTCACCTAATGAGATATTATATGTTAGTCTGGCATTTTTATTGTTTTTACATAAAACGTTGGAAAAAAATTAAAACTTAAACATAAGAGGATTATAAGAGGCTTTTAGGGCGTTCGCGCCCATCTTCTATTTAAATTGTGAACATGTTCTTTTTGTTAACATTTTAAAACAAAGAAGAAAAAAATTTCGCGGATATAAAAAAAAATTCGCGGATTTTCAAGAATTTAAATTTTTTACAAAATTAAAAACCTTTAAAACACATTTTTTATCATTCGTAAGCCTTCCCTGTGGTTACGTGATGTCCCACAAAAATTTGGGCCGATCGGTTCAGCCGTTTTGACGTTTATTGGTGTTATTTTAGGCCCCTGGCTAGTGCCGCCCCTGGCCGCTAGGGGGTTACAAATCCTTGTACGTGGCAAGACGAGATCAGCTGACTTAGCAGGGGACTAGCTAGAGAGGATGGGACGGTTACCTGTATACCAGTGTCTAGCTAGAGATACTAGCAAAAAATGGGACGGATACCTGTGGACCAGTGTCTAGAGATACTAGCTAGGAAGGATGGGACGGAAACCTGTAGACCAGTGTCTAGAGATACTAGCTAGCGAAGATGGGACGGAAACCAGTAGACCAGTGTCTAGAGATACTAGCTAGAGAGGATGGGACGGTTACCTGTATACCAGTGTCTAGCTAGAGATACTAGCAAAATGTGGGACGGATACCTGTGGACCAGTGTCTAGAGATACTAGTAAGGAAGAATGGGACGGATACCTGTAGACCAGTGCAGTGTCTAGAGATACTAGCTAGGAAGGATGGGACTGATACCTGTGGACCAGTGTTTAGAGACACTAGTAAGGAAGGATGGGACGGATAACCAATGAGTCATGAGCTCCGGGACAAGGTTTAATGCGTCCCACTCTACTCCAGTCCGACCAGATGTCTCGGCCCATTTCCTGAAACACAAGCAAATAAAGAATAAAAGAGGAATGAAGGAATTAATTTCTCTAAAATAAAAAAAATTCAGATTTTTACATAATTAAGAAAATGTACATGAGGCAGAATAATCTGTACTTATGGAGACTTTGGGTGAAATTTCAAATTAAGCGAGTTGAATTCTGACAGTTTCTTTCACTGCCTCTGCAGCATAAATCCTCAAGTCACTTATATGAAAAATTTACAATTTGAAGAGTCAATTTTCAGCCAGAAAAAAAATGTCTCATTTATCTTTGATTAGGCAAAGGTTGAAAAGTTGTCATTTCTATACGGACAGGGAACAGGGGGACAGGGGACAGGGGACAGGAGGACAGGGGACAGGGGACAAACGTATTTAATAGACATTTGAAATTTCGGTCTTCAGTTCCTTTAAGACACAATGAAAATTATACGGATTGCCAAGGGCGTATACAGAAATAAATCTAGGGGGTCAAATAATATACGCCCCCCTAGAATTTATAGCTAGGACGGGGGCACTGCCCCCTTGCCCCCCTGTATACGCCCTTGCGGATTGGTGTTCTGAAAAAATACATTAAATAAAATACATTATCTGGTGCTTACTTGGTTGCTGATAAATGGACTAGAGATTTTCCAATTTGTCTGAGTAATTCCTCAACCTCATTAAAGGATAGAAGGCTAGGTTTACCATATCCAGGAGCACCTAGAGCCATCACAATACATCCAACAGGGGTACTTCCAGCTACACCGGAGCTTGTTCTAAAACAAAACCAGTTTACAATTTGGATATTGTACACTTAAAAAAAAAAATTCACAAAGTTCTAAGTTTACTAACGTCAATGTTTTCTAAAATACAATGTGTTGCTTATTATTAATAATTAAAGATTATTTGACAGAAAACAATGACTTAAGTCTGCTAGGATTCTTTTCCCAATGTGTAAACATATTCATGGACTTTTATTGCTCATTTTGGAGAAAATTAATTACGTTATACCTCCCTGATCAGGGGATTCATATATTTCTTTTTACATGACGATTCTAGTAACAGGATGATAATGCATGCTAATCCTTGAGTTCTGAATTATTGAATTATTTGAACGCACGGCTCACCTTAATGGTACATACCATCCTCTATCTCCTCCTTGATATCCTTTGTCATCCCTAATATAGGGGTCCAGGTAACAGTGGCCCTATTAAATGGAAGTTCATGGATGTAATTTGTTAGAAAAAGGGGGAATGATTTTTTAAGATCTGAGAAAAAAAACTAAAAATTGGAGATCAATAGGTGAATTTATTCATTTTTTTTACAATTTTCCCCTAAAACTCGTTTATCAATTCAGCGAAAAATACCCTAGAAAATTACCCAACTTCAGGGGGGGGATGTCTTTTCAAGAAAATATACGCCCCTGTGCAGTATAATTTATTATTATCATCTTTGTGTATAATTGCAACTCACATGACCCAAGGGAAGGTTTATGATGGATGATCAGAAATTGAAAAATTTGCCTTATTCGATTTTTCAATCCACGAGACAAATCTTTAAAAGGGCAACAATTAAATGTTAAAATCGAAGATCGGCGCGAAGCATCCAGGACCCCTTGGCATAGTAAAAATGTTTACCTTGAAGTTTCCTTGATTATCTGTGACCCTGTAAATAGAAACCTCCTCAGACCAGGGTTTCTCAGCTCCCTGGACACATAAATATTTACTTGGCTAATCCCTTGAAATTTCTTGTCTTAAATAAAAAAACAGATTTAAGTATTTTTTTAATGTACACATTTGGTAGGGTACAGGACGGTCGAAAGGCTGGTTGATGTTTTTAAAAATCAAGAATTCATCATAACTAATTTTCTAACGTTTTTCATTCAAGAGTAAACCCATAAACCAACGAGTGAGAGAAATACTAATTGATTTACAGAGAAATGAAAACGATGCATATAGTCGCTCTTTCAATCCTTGTCTATAAAAATATATCTCCACCTGTGGTTTCACCAGGGTAAAGACCAGATTGTAATGCTCCTTGAGCAGAATAAAGATAGTCTCTAGGACGTGTGGGAGAGGGAAAAACTCTCTCATCGCCTCTTCCTCGATATTGAACAGGGTTCGGATCTGTTTTCTCTTAAAGAACTCGACGTCGAACTCCTTAATACTGTCCTCGAACCCTCGAGTCTCTGCATACTCCTTGAAAAAATATATTGCTTTAAAATATTTTTTTAAATTACATTTTTTTTAAAGTTTGTTTGACTAGATTGAATAATGATAAATCAGAAGTGTTTTGCCAATCTCTCAGTTGTCAGAGGAAGTGAGATTTATAAATTAGATATTTTCAAACTTTTAGAAAATTTTAATTGGATCCAAGGTATCCGCATCCCGCAATAAAATAGTTTTAAACCTGCAGCGCGGCAAGTTCAATTTCTTGCGCAGTCTTTGCTCGTGGCGCCATGCTCGCAATCATAGAGGTCACGTTCTCAACCTTTCCGGCCATCTTAGTTGCCATAGACATGTCAGCATAGGTTCTATATCCTGGATTTAATATCATTATTATTAAGATTATTGAAGAGATTGAGGAAAAAAACTCATTTGTTTTTAATCCTGGGATCAATCCATTTTTATTAAAAAATTTCCTGAATCATCGAAACGAAGTGATCACCTTAATCTCCTTTCTGGGCAATATTCCATGAATTTCCGATGAACATAAGGATGCAATGTAACGGACCAGGGACCACGGGCAGGCTGGCTAGAGTCAGCTGCCATAGCTCTGATCATTAAACAAGACCACTCAATTTTTAGGTTGACAAATCGGTCCACAAAATGAAACAATAAACCCATAAGAAAAATGAAAATCATGAATAAAGGTTGAAAAAATAAAGTGATACAAAATGAGTAAATCAATAAACTAGGTCCCTCATTTTGTTGGAAAATGGAAAACTTAATGAAATGAGGAGACTTTAATTTTGAACATTTTTGAAACTTGACAAACCAAGATTTATTTCAGCCAAAAGAGGGGGCGGGGGGTTATGAACTATGGACCACTCACTCGACCCTCTTGACAGGAAAGATGAATTATCTTTTGAAAAAAACAGGGGTAAATTTAAAAAGAAAGAATGGTAGAAAAATATAAAAAAATAATTCTAAAAATTATTCTAAACCTATTAATGGTTTGTGTTCCTGAGCAGATCAACAGGGAATTCTCTGACAATGGTTGGATCTCGGATAATATGACGAAACCTCTGAGTACTTGTTGTTATCTTAAACCTAAAACAAAAAATTAAGAATTCAATTTAAATAATCCAACAAACATAATACCACCTCTTCCAAGAAACACTGTCAAGGTAATTTGAGATGACCCCCCACCCCATCCCCCACTATTGAATCATAACAGTACCCTTTACACCTTTCTTAAAGCTATACACAAGGTATGGACTCTAGGCTGCTATCTGGACGATGGTGCGTGGTGCCCTGAAGGCAGTCTGGGGTTTCCACTTTGGGTTCCCTTTCAGATTTAAACTTGATTGATTGATCGTGGTTTATCTTTCTTAAACCGTGCCGCTATTCTTATTCAATTTTTGTATCTGCTGTATAGATCCTCAAATCACTATAAAATAAGATCCCGCAGTTGAAACTAAATTTTAGAAAAATAAGAATAACTTGATAACACGAAGGTTTAAAGTGTATGCTTGTGAATCCGCCTCTTTAAGCTAGCCCCCTCCCATAGATATAGGTACCTGTGATCTCTCTGTGCCTCGGACAGTCTTTTCATCCAGTTTGAATTTAGTTCAAGATACTTTTTCTCCGGTAGTTCGTATCCTTAATATAGGTACCTGTGATCTCTCTGTGCCTCGGACAGTCTTTTCATCCAGTTTGAATTTAGTTCAAGATACTTTTTCTCCGGTAGCTCGTATCCTTGATTCTTGTACTCTAACTGGTACCTGGAGAATAGTTTGATTAACAGTCTACACGCTAATAGGAACAGATAACTTGTCTCAAACTATAATTGTCTTTCTCGTTATCTTCGAAATATGTTTTTTTAAACCTTTGATATACAATTTGAATATATGCAATAATGCTGCAACGATATAAGGATTAGAAGGAGTATAAGGATAGGGTTCTGCGCTGGGAACTTTTGTTTTGTGGATATCGTGACCAATCCTAGACTCAATCTTTTGTTCATCTGCAGATTAATCTAATCTTTATTCTGTATCCCGCATGATAATCGTACCCTGGAGGAATTAGTGAAATGAGGAAATTAAGCATTGATACCCAAATTAAAAATCCCCGCCGTGGATATCGAGATCAAGGGATCGGGATTATGAGTATCAAAAAAGTTCCCAGCTCTGCTCTCTCATCTCACCTTTGAAGAAGTATCTTCTCTTCTCCCTCTACATTCTTCACATCCTCACTCGTGATCAAGTTGTAAATGTCTCTGGAGTCATACCGGGATAGGAAGGCTCGCTCTGCGCGTTTGTTCAGCTAAAGAAAAAGAAACAAATAAAAAATCAGATATATTTTTCCGAAAAAAAAATAAACGCAATTTCAATTTGCAATCTTAGATATTTTTGCCAACAAATCTATTTACTAAACCGAAAAAAAAATACTTTTTTGCAGAATATTTTTCTTTAAAGGAAAATACCGTATCAAATCAAATCATCAGGTTATATTTTTTTAATGATTTAAGATCTTTCAGAAAGAAGGTTTTCCTAAAAAATTTAAATTAGAGTGAAAACCCAAGCAAGGTTGGAATGGTTGAACGATACCAAACTTTTGGGAAAAAAACTTAAATCAGAAAAAAATGTAAAAAATAATTAATGTTAAATACCGAAGTGAACCTATCCATGTCTAAACTATCAGTGACGATATTTATGAGGTTTACAGAGTTCCAAACACTCTCTAGTTCTACTCTAGACTCCTCCAACCCTCTCAACAGCTTCTCCCAATCCTAGAAAATCCATCAATCAATACATTTTCAACCAATCAATAAATAATCAGCGCATTTATAGACAATTTATCAATACATTTTTAGACAATCCACAAATTCATCAACACATTTTCGAGCAATTAATAAAAACAATCGATTAATCCACACATTTACAACTAAGTAATCAAAATATGTTCAATCAATCATTTACACTTACAATTATCTATTTAAAATCAATTAATCGATAAATTTTCAATCAATTTATCAATACAAGTTCAATCAATCAATCTCTACAATTTAAATCTATCGATCCGAACCTTTGCAATCAATTAATACAGCTCTTTTAAATCAATCAATAAAAGTATTTGCAATCAATTAATATTAACCTTGCAAGCAATCGATTAAAAACCTTTGCAACCAATAAATACGAATACGTAACAAAACATTTATTTATCTAAAATTCGGTGATGGTGATGGACCAAACCTCATTTATTTATCAATCCTAACCTATTGAAATAACTAATCAAACAATCAGTCAATCAATTAATATATTTACATTCCATTTACGATCAAAGCATTTTCAATCAACTAATCCATATATTTAACAAAAATTAATCCAATTTCTTAACTTCCTTCTAAAAAATCAAAAATTAATAATCGGCATGATTTTTTAAATAACTCACTTGAGCATGCTTCATACTTATTCGATTCATTTGATTTGACATTTGATTACATGGTTCAGGGTTCTACAAAGAAGTATTATCATATTCTCAGTAAATTATTAAGGAGCGTTTACCTTTTCTCCAGCTTTGACTTGTTCCTCCATCCTGCAGACCGTGCTCTCGTAGGTCATTAAAGCCTTCCCTAGCCCGTAGTAGCAGTTCGCCTCACTCACTGAACCCAGCGCTGGTAACTCATTCTAATACAGCAATTGTCAAGACTCAGAGGTTTACTATTTCCAAAAGGCAGAGGGGGAGAGGGGGTGATAAATTTTAACTATAAATGATTAATTATTCCCTATTTCGATAATTCCTACCCAAATTCATTTATTTCTCCCCAGAAAATGTAAAAACTTTCTTTAAAAATTTAAAAATATGTTTTCTCATGTAAACGGACAAGTAACCAAGTGACCCTCCATTTATAGAGCCAAGACCTATTTACAAAGGAACTCTTTGTACCTTTATCTGAGAACATTGAACAAAACGTCGATTTTCTTTAAAATTTATTGTTGAATTTTTACTTTTTCTTTCGTCGTTATTGCTGCAAAAATCCAAAAGTTTCTGAATCAGAGAACCTCCAAAATAAAAAAAATCCCCCTTGTAACCAAAAAAACTATTGTGTAAACTATAAATGGAGGGTCATTTGAAATAACACCTCTAGTCTCTTAAAGAAGAATGAATGCTGTTTAATCGAATATCGAATTATACAATCTCGGTTTGAGATGTTTGTAGATGTTTGTTACCTTGATTGTTTTCAGTAGCGGATTGGTTTCACCGGTATCTGGTGGCAACTCAGGAAGAAGGATAACCCTGGTAAAAATCATTATTTATCAAGGGAAAAAAGTGAGTATAACAGTTTTATTTTTTTAATGAAATGATGACCCCCCCACAGCAGGAAAGGGGTTAAAACTGATTCAAGCTGGTAAACTGGTCAACTTATCAATTTATCAACTTATCAACTATCAACTCACTGCACATTTCTTATTGGTAGACTTTCTAATGAATGTTCCGAACTTCAAAAACGAAGTATCAAAATATTTCGGAGTATGTCAATTTTCCTTTGCTGTGTATTAGTCCTGGTTTGTATTCTCCAGGTCTAGTTTACCTGTGTTATGTATTGGTCCTGGTTTGTATTCTCCAGGTTTAGTTTACCTGTGTTATGTATTGGACTGGTTTGTATTCTCCAAGTCTAGTTTGTATTCTCCAAGTCTAGTTTACCTGTGTTGTGTATTGGTTCTGGTTTGTATTCTCCAAGTCTAGTTTACCTGTGTTGTGTATTGGTCCTGGTTTGTATTCTCCAAGTCTAGTTTACCTGTGTTGTGTATTGGTCCTGGTTTGTGTTCTCCAGGTCTAGTTTACCTGTGCTGTGTATTGGTCCTGGTTTGTGTTCTCTAGGTCTAGTTTACCTGTGTTATATATTGGTTCTGGTTTGTATTCTCCAGGTCTAGTTCACCTGTGTTATGTATTGGTCCTGGTTTGTATTCTCCAGGTCTAGTTTACCTGTGTTGTGTATTGGTCCTGGTTTGTGTTCTCCAGGTCTAGTTTACCTGTGCTGTGTATTGGTCTTGGTTTGTATTCTCCAAGTCTAGTTTACCTGTGCTGTGTATTGGTCCTAGTTTGTGTTCTCCAGGTCTGTTCAGAACAGAGAATATTCTGCCTAATGCTTAAACAAGGGAGTCTCTACAAAACGTTACATAAAAAACAGTCCCATCGACAGCGTTCAGTTTCAATTTAAAAATTATATAAATACCGACTACTTATTTTAACCAATTCAAAAATTTGTTTATGTATTTCAACATTGTCCTCCTGAACTGTAAACGAATAGGTCTTTTTTTTAATGTCAAGTTTCCTGAGACTGAAGAACGGAATAAGAACGGAACTGAAACCCAGGGTTTCGGAGCAAACAACCCCGAACCCGAACCAACAGCATTTTTGTTCTGAAACCAGGACCAGTATTAATCTAATTTAATCAATCATTTCATGATTAAACACAATCAGAAATTAATAATTGAACAACGACTAAAAATTGGCACTTTTAGGTTCCCTAGGTCAGTTTTATGAACAGAAGTCCATGATCCTGGACTTGAGATATCAGGGAGTCCTCGTGAGGGTATCCGGAATATATAAGAGAGCTTGAGGGTTTACAGCTTCAGCTTTGTTCTTCTCCAGTGTCTCCTCTTGGCGTTATAACGGATTGTATTCCCGGTTTTCATCCTGAAATCACACAAAAATATAAAACATCTCTTGACACCTTTTGACCAACATTACCGATCTAGCTATGATTCTCCTAATACAGAGACGTATAAAGTTACTTAACGTCCCTTGGAATAACTAAGTAAAATAACGACCCGCTATGAAAACTTTCCATAAAAATATCGTGTGCAACTATTTTCCCGGGTAATTAAAAATTTAACTTAACAGGTTCCCTCGACCAATTTTGCCTTGGGAACCCTTGATAAAGTAAATTCCCCTAGTTTTTCTGTGGAGTGTACGAACTGATTAGTGATTACTTACCTTTTGTTTTTCTACCTTTGTTATTTCGAACAGAGAGTTCTGTTACAGTGAGAACCAGAACACTTTGGAATAGAAAGAGAATTTTTAAACTAAAATTATGATTTTAAGTAGTTCCGTGAATATTAGACAAATCAATCTAACAGTAACAGTTTACAAAGACCCATTTTACATAAACGGGGATTTTTATGTTACTTGTAAAATTTTGTTTAATTACAACACACTTAATTAATTTAATGTCGTCTTCCTATTCCACAGTTTCCTGGTCCTCACTTCTATTTGAGATTTAAAGGGATTTTACAATTTAAATTTTTCAATGCCTGATCCATTGTGGGATAGGACGATTCTGTTTCATCTTCTTGGATAGTTTAATCTTGTTGGATATTATTATTCAATACCTGATCCATTGTGGGATAGGACGATTCTGTTTCATCTTCTTGGATAGTTTAATCTTGTTGGATATTATTATTCAATACCTGATCCATTGTGGGATAGGACGATTCTGTTTCATCTTCTTGGATAGTTTAATCTTGACCCTGAAGGTCTTCAGAGCTGACATTTTGACCTGAAATAAATTTAATTTAATCAATTTAAATCTCAGATTAGAAACCGAATCATGAATTTATGATTTGATGCTTCCAGAGGTTTCCAGAGGTTTCCAGAGGTTTCCAGAGGTTTCCAGAGGTTTCCAGAGGTTTCCAGAGGGTTTCCAGAGGTTTACAGCTTCAGCTTAGTCCTCCTCCAATGTCTCCTCTTGGCGTTATACCGGATGGTATTACCGGTTTTCATCCTGAAAACAAGCAGATATTTTAGATCAGAAAGGCGGACGTATTTTGATACGCTGGTAGGCGATTTTATCAATATAATGAGGACGAATTTTTATTTAAGTTTTTATTTTTTAACAAGTTTTTTCGAATTACTAGTTTACAATTAAAGAGAAATCTTTTAATTAGCAGCTTCCTATGTTTCCATGTGTATCTGTGCTGTTTAAAAGCTTTATATCAAAATTGAAATAGAAAGTCCTCTTTATTACATTGATATAGTAGCCTACCGCCGTAGTGTAGACTGTAAATCTTTTTTTCACAAAAAGTGAGGTGAAAGGGATTTTGTACTCTAAAATTCACGTAGTTCACAATGAACTCAGTTTCGGGGGCTGTGCGAAAGTAAAATGGTTGTTTGTCAACAAACGCATTTGAAACTGGACTTGAAACGAAACATTAAATTGAACCCAGTCGTCGAGTTTCAGCCGTAGTCCAGAGTTAGAGTTAAAGATAAAAAGGAGTGAGGTAAATTAATTCATTAATTTTAAATATTCATGAAAAAAGTATCATGTCGAAATTATTAAGTATTGTTTCGACATAAGTCTAATTGAATTGAATGTAATCAGACTGTTTCACTAGTTTTTAGCCTCCGAAACCGAGTTCAATACCAAAAACACGGAAATATTTGTGTACATCTTATTTTCAGCAGTCCTCAATTACTTTCTGGCCACTAACTTCATTTTTTTCTCAAAAAAGAGCATTGTATGAGTTTTGTCAAAACTTTTGTTGTGAATCTCAGGATTAAGCAAAGTGATTCTTTATTTTAATCCAGAATTACGGATGAATTACGGATTTAATTCCACTTTGAAATCCCGAGGGATAAGTTTAATTCAAGGATCAAGCAATTATAATCTAATTAGAGATCAAGCGTTTAAGATTCTCAATACTCCATACAAAAGTTACGACCCCTTATCTTATCTATTTTAATCGTGTTGGATATTATTATTCAATACCTGATCCATTGTGGATTAGGACGATTCTGTATCATCTTCTTGGATAGTTTAATCTTGTTGGATATTATTATTCAATACCTGATCCATTGTGGGATAGGACGATTCTGTTTCATCTTCTTGGATAGTTTAATCTTAACCCTGAAGGTCTTCAGAGCTGACATTTTGAACTGAAATAAATTTCTCATTTATAAAAATATATTGGCTGAGATTTCTCTGAGATATGCGTATATAAATATCTTAGTTTCAATAATATAGAGTAAATAGAGTAAATAGAGTAAATACACGGGGATAAAATACAGTGGAACCCATAAAAATGTGAAATGAGAACAGCTGTTCGACTCTAGTTGTGATTGTGAAGTGTACACAGACCTATTTCACTTAATAAGTAAATTTTAAACCTATTTCACAGTTTTATAGATCCCACTCTAGAAAATTTTATAAGATCCGATTAACAATACACATTTCACATCAAATCAAATTTTTGATTCAAAGACTAGCAATTAATTATATTTATGGACATATATAAAGCTCATTGTTTGGATCTTTTACTTACACATAATTTCCAGTTTTAAGGAAATTACAATTTTTTTGCATTTAAATGCTTTTTTTTGGGCTTAATTGGCACAGTTACATTACAAAATGGTTTAATATCATAAAATAATAAATTCGAAACTTCAGTATTCATTTTCAGATACTCCTGCTTAATAACCTTGAGGTTTAAATCTAGCATAATATGGTAATTATAATCCTAGATCTTGCACAGAAGGACACATTCTGATCTAGGACTTGTTAAAATTATATCTTCTAGATTTTTCCACGGCATTACTCTGCTTTATCCACTTTCTGCGACACAAAAAAAAACATTTAGACAATAAAATTGAATTTGGAAGGTAAAAACAATTTTACGAAACTAAAAGAAAACAAATCTTCATTTATAAAGACTCAATCAAACCCAAAATGGCTGAACAGAACAAAATTTATTTTTTGGGTGACCTAGAACGGCCATTGGAAAAGTTAATGGCGTTCCCAAACCAACAAGTTGTGAAAATAATCAAATAAAACGAAAATATCTGCGAAACTATTTCTTAAATTACTGATATAAAATGTTCAAGTATGTATTTAATTAAGTTCACTTATTTAAACAAGATTTGTTTTGTCGGAATTTTTTTCTAATGCAAAAGTTTGGTCTTGGCTTAAAAATTTTACGAATTATTTTAAATTTCGGATAAATACTTTTTATTTTAATGATTTTTTCCCTGATATATTTTCTCTCCATCTTACGAGCCGAGACTACAGATACAGGATCCAGAGGATTGGAACCTCTGGAAATATCAAGTTTATATCTGTGGAAAAGATCGGATGAGATCGGATGAGATCGGATGAGAATGAATGAGAATGAATGAGAATGGATGATAATGGATGAGAATGGATGAGATCGGATGAGATCGGATGAGATTGGATGAGAATGAATGAGAATGAGTGAGAATGAATGAGAATGGATGATAATGGATGAGAATGGATGAGATCGGATGAGATCGGATGAGAATGGATGAGAATGGATGAGAATGGATGAGGATGGATGAGAATGGATGAGAATGGATGAGAATGGATGAGAATGGATACCCCAGGTCTAGATAGATATAATAAGATTTGCCATGTTTGGTCTAGGTTCTACACCCCAGGTCTAGATAGATATAGATAATATTTTTCATGTTTCTAGGTTCTACACCCCAGGTCTAGATAAATATAATAGGATTTGCCATGTTTGGTCTAGGTTCTACACCCCAGGTCTATATAGATATAAAAAGACTTGCCATGTTTGGTCTAGGTTCTACACCCCAGGTCTAGATAGATATAGATAATATTTTTCATGTTTCTAGGTTCTACACTCCAGGTCTAGATAAATAAAATAGGATTTGCCATGTTTGGTCTAGGTTCTACACCCCAGGTCTAGATAGATATAATAAACCCATAAAAATGTGAAATGAGAACAGCTGTTCGACTCTAGTTGTGATTGTGAAGTGTACACAGACCTATTTCACTTAATAAGTAAATTTTAAACCTATTTCACAGTTTTATAGATCCCACTCTAGAAAATTTTATAAGATCCGATTAACAATACACATTTCACATCAAATCAAATTTTTGATTCAAAGACTAGCAATTAATTATATTTATGGACATATATAAAGCTCATTGTTTGGATCTTTTACTTACACATAATTTCCAGTTTTAAGGAAATTACAATTTTTTTGCATTTAAATGCTTTTTTTGGGCTTAATTGGCACAGTTACATTACAAAATGGTTTAATATCATAAAATAATAAATTCGAAACTTCAGTATTCATTTTCAGATACTCCTGCTTAATAACCTTGAGGTTTAAATCTAGCATAATATGGTAATTATAATCCTAGATCTTGCACAGAAGGACACATTCTGATCTAGGACTTGTTAAAATTATATCTTCTAGATTTTTCCACGGCATTACTCTGCTTTATCCACTTTCTGCGACACAAAAAAAAACATTTAGACAATAAAATTGAATTTGGAAGGTAAAAACAATTTTACGAAACTAAAAGAAAACAAATCTTCATTTATAAAGACTCAATCAAACCCAAAACGGCTGAACAGAACAAAATTTATTTTTTGGGTGACCTAGAACGGCCATTGGAAAAGTTAATGGCGTTCCCAAACCAACAAGTTGTGAAAATAATCAAATAAAACGAAAATATCTGCGAAACTATTTCTTAAATTACTGATATAAAATGTTCAAGTATGTATTTAATTAAGTTCACTTATTTAAACAAGATTTGTTTTGTCGGAATTTTTTTCTAATGCAAAAGTTTGGTCTTGGCTTAAAAATTTTACGAATTATTTTAAATTTCGGATAAATACTTTTTATTTTAATGATTTTTTCCCTGATATATTTTCTCTCCATCTTACGAGCCGAGACTACAGATACAGGATCCAGAGGATTGGAACCTCTGGAAATATCAAGTTAATATCTGTGGATGAGAATGGAAAAAACGGATGAGAACGGATGACAATGGATGACAATGGATGAGAATGGATGAGAATGGATGAGAATGGATGAGAATGGATGAAAATGGATGAGAATGGATGAGAATGGATTAGAATGAATGAGTATGAATGAGTATGAATGAGAATGGATGAGAATGGATTAGAATGAATGAGTATGAATGAGTAAGAATGAGAATGGATGAGAATGGATGAGAATATGAGAATATGAGAATGAATGAGAATGGATGAGAATGGATGAGAATGAATGAGAATGGATGAGAATGGATGAGAATGGATGAGAATGGATGAGAATGGATGAGAATGAATGAGAATGAATGAGAATGAATGAGAATGAATGAGAACGAATGAGAATGAATGAGAATGAATGAGAATGAATGAGAATAAATGAGAATGAATGAGAATGAATGAGAATGGATGAGATTAAATGAGAATGGATGAGAATGGATGAGAATGAATGAGAATGAATGAGGATGAATGAGAATGGATTAGAATGGATGAGAATGGATTAGAATGGATGAGAATCTACCTTAGATCAAGATGATGAGCCCCTTCTGGTATTTTGATGGATACAATAGAACCGTAGGATTTAAGAATACTACCGCTAGACCAGGGATCCAATAATCCATTACTAAACAATATCAGCTGCCGTATTATTCTATCATAATCTTTACTATACGTCATACGATCCTTCCTGAATTTACAAACCAGAGTATTTCTAGCTAGAAAACTAAAACCCTTTTTATCATTTAAGGAACTGTAGACGCTATTTCAAGTGACCCACCATTTCAAGGGTGGCAATCGCCATTTTTTATGTCTTTAAACATAATGAATTCTGTCAATTTCCTTCATGGTTTCTGCAGCAAAAATTCTCAAGTAACTTTTAAATAAACGGCAATTGAATAATCAGTTTTTAATGAAGAAAACATGGATTTCTCATTTGTCCTTTGCCAGGTCAAGAATGAAAGAAAAATTCATGTTTCTCTTTCCGAAATTTAATTATTTTCAATGGAGGTTTCTTTATGAAAGTGACTTAAGAATTTCTGCTTGATTTTGATTTTCATAATTATACACGTTTGAAGCTAGAAGACGACTAAAGCATCCACATTTTTAATCAGATAAAGGTTTAAGGAGTATCTTTGTAAATCTGTCATAACACTCTTAAGATGGATGCTCACTTAAAGTTACAACGATCTTTAAAGAGATGAACAATTTACCTGAATATGATGTTAGATGCTGAACTTACATCTCGTCCACCGTAAATAAGATTTGCCATGTTTGGTCTAGGTTCTACACCCCAGGTCTAGATAGATATAAGATTTGGCATGTTTGGTCTAGGTTCTACACCCCAGGTCTAGATAGATATAATAAGATTTGCCACGTTTGGTCTGGGTTCTACGCCCCAGGTCTTTTGTTAAAATAAAAGATAAAAATGCAATCTGTTACGCAACTAAAGTACTTCTAACTTGACAAACTGATAGAGGTCCCATCTCTTGGTCTAAAAATGGTCGTTACCCCTGTATTGTTTCCCTTAAATATAGTTTCCCCCCCCAATTAAGCGGAATAGAACTATAAAATATGTTTCACTCTGCGAACACACTACATTCCTTACATTAGAGATAAAATTATTTTTGAAGGAAATCAAGTCAATCTGTTAATAACACAAAAAATGTTCTAACCTCTTTGCAGTCCTTGGAAAACTGTTCAAGGTCCCAGCCCTTGCTCTCAAACATATCATTAACCCCGTCGTAGCAGAAGGGCATCACCATCTCACTGCAGGCCTGGTAGTACCACATGTCTGCACCAATATTATCTAGAAAATTCAAAGTAATAGTCTTTAAGTGTATGTTTGTATGTCCGATCATAACTCATGAACTCATGGCCGATTTGACTAAAAATCGGGAATTTTCTTAGCTTAGATTGATAATGATAAATTGAGAATGTTTTGTTTTTAATGGAGAAAGTTTAGTTTCCAGACAAAGCTGGTTCACAGGGAAGTCTAATAAACTAGACATACTAACATATTTAAGGGACTGTTAAGTGTTGACATAATTTCAAATTTTCAATATTCGTATCACAACAGTACCCTTTCAGTTTCAACCTTTTGTCTGATCCATAGCTTCAAGGTAGAAAAAAGGGGTTTATTTTTTGGAGTGGGGGGGAATTATTTTTATAGGAGGGGGGGGGGAATTTAGTTTACCTTCCTCCGCAATATTAAGACAGGGAGATTGTCCAGTATAGTTGGAGTACACAGATACACCAGAGTAGATAGGGGATAGGAGGGAGGGGGGGGGATAGTTTACCTTCCTCCGCAATATTAAGACAGGTGGATTGTCCAGTATAGTTAGAGTACACAGATACACCAGAGTAGATATGGGATAGGAGCTCCTCATCTGTACTATAGTTGCCCAACATCTTACTACACGCTGCAAATATAGAAATATTAGGATAAACAAATATCACAGATTTACTTTGAGCCGGTCATGAGCCACATGTGGCTCTCTTAGTGTGCACAATACAAGTAATTACTTCAAAATCGGCAATGGTCTCTTTAAAATTGTTAAATTGCGTATTTAAATTGCTCGTAACAAATTCTTCTATAGATTAGCCCCTTGGTAATTTGCTTCTATAAGATTGCCCTTGATAAATTGTTTTACAAAAATTGCCTATGTAGATTGTTGAAATTACAATTCTGAAATTATCCTCACACACATATAGTCTGTTTGTATTCGTCGACTTAATATTAAGTTTAGGGGTTGCAGTAATTTCTATTTGTTTTGAAAAGGAACTGATATCAGTATGAAATATAACAGGGGTTTATATTTTCTAGAAGATCTGGGGGGGAAAAAAGAAAATTGGCAAGTTTTTTTTATAGTTTTTACACTTATTTCCCAAATTCAGCGAACAAGTCCTTAAAAAAATCAAAAAAAAAATACCATGCTTCTGTGGAAAAAAAATTATATTCAAAAGAGAGAGGTCATGATTTATTAAGAAAATATACCCCCCTGATACAAAAGGTTGCTACAATCAGTTAAATTAGTTAAACTTGCTGCGCATATTCAAAAGTTTTAACCTGCGTTGACCGGGTTTCCAGGAAGAGGGGCCAGGAATGTTGTTGGATATGGATAATCCATCATTGCTAGATTAGTCCACAGATTACTCAAATAGTCCTAAATATGGATAATCCATCATTGCCAGATTAGTCCGCAGATTACTCAAATAGTCCTAAATATGGATAATCTATCATTGCCAGATTAGTCCGCAGATTACTCAAATAGTCCTAAATATGGATAATCCATCATTGCTAGATTAGTCCACAGATTACTCAAATAGTCCTAAATATGGATAATCCATCATTGCCAGATTAGTCCACAGATTACTCAAATAGTCCTAAATATGGATAATCCATCATTGCTAGATTAGTCCGCAGATTACTCAAATAGTCCTATATATGAATAATCCATCATTGCTAGATTAGTCCGCAGATTACTCAAATAGTCCAAAACATAGATAATCCATTAACATGGGTGAATTCGACAATGACGAAATAAACCCAATTCAAATATTGTGTCAACTGCCCAGTGCCCAGTCTTTTAAAAGTTTTTTGTATCTCACTGAAGTATTAAGCTTTTATGAATTGTATCCTACCTTTAGACCTGTCATGTTGGATTTGCTTGTGAGAGGAGTACACAGCTTCCACTTGGAGTTTAACCAGTCCAAACCTAGAAATATTAAGTCAGACATATCTTTGAATAAATTGTCAAATATTGGCAGCATTATTCTTAAAATTATCCAAGCACATTTCATTATAAGATATTGACTATTGAGCATAAAAACGGATGACCATGTAATATGATGTAGATAACACTGTACAGTGTGTATGACGTTGATTACCTTGTAATTTGATGTGAACAGTGTAATATGTAACATGTAACATGATGTAGATAACCCTGTATAGTGTATATGACGTTGATTACCTTGTAATTTGATGTGAACAGTGTAATATGTAACATGTAATATGATGTAGATAACACTGTACAGTGTATATGACGTTGATTCCCTTGTAATTTGATGTGGGCAGGGTAATATGTAACATGTAATATGATGTAGATAACCCTGTATAGTGTATATGACGTTGATTCCCTTGTAATTTGATGTGGGCAGGGTAATATGTAACATGCAATATGATGTAGAATGTAGATAACCCTGTACAGGTAACATGTAATAAGGTATTATCAACTAGTATGACATGAATCAACCTTTAATATTAAGTGAATTATGGCATGGATTATCCATTATGACGTGAATCGCCCTGTTCTATGACGTGAATCGCCCTGTTCTATGACGTGAATAGCCCTGTTGTCCGATATGATCAACCTGTATTGTAATACGACATGAATCACCCTGTATAGTTACCTGTATTATTGGCCTTATCAGCTACTCTGTCTAAAGCTGCCCAGGAGCTTCTAATAGTTTGAGAACAGGTTCCATTAGGTGCAGCCGCTGTAAAATCTGAACAGAACAGCTCAGTAATAATAATCAGGAGAGTTGATATATAAATTATAAAGAAAAAACTCGGATATTTCCCACTTTCTAAAATCATTTCCACAAATTTTTCTGGAGCCTTTTAAAATCCTTAAGTTTCCTGCACGACCAAAGTTATTACCCAAACTGGAGTGAAATGTCGAAAAAAACTGTTTTCCCCCAGTACATAAGGTATTAGGTATGTTGTTTTTCCCCACACCGTTGAAAGTATTCCACTTTTTCTCGTCCATTTTCTACAAAATATACAGTGAGAACCAAAAAAGATTGGAATAGGATGACGACTGTAAAACTCAAGTCGTGATTTTAGATAGCCAAATGAGACAAAGCAACTGAACAGTGTTAACAGACCCATTTAACTACAGAATTTAACAACTTTTAAAACTATTTGCTTTGTAAACCCATCAAAGACACAACAATATTACTCGTTTCGTATAATATTATGTCGTATTATGTAGCAAAGTTTTCTGGTTCTCACTGTATAGCCCTCAATGCTTTTGCTGTTTACCTGAAGTTACAATTCTGCCGAAGGCGTCACACGGAGACGTGAACTGCGCCACGGGTGCCGAGGCAGCGATTGCTCCAGCACAGATGTTTGGGTATTTCATTCGGAACCAGGCAGCCAACATTCCTAACAGAAACCAAATTTAAGGGACTGTGAACATAATTTTATGTGACCCTAAGATTCACAACGGTACCCTTTAACCCTTTATACTATGAAATTTATTTGTCGTTTCTAAAGCTTTTCTAGTGTTAAATTCTGATAATTCCTATATATTTTCCAGGCGTAGAAATCATAATGCGAAAGTCACTTTTGCAGAGAAACCATAATAGACAATAATTAAATTTAGAAATTGTAAATTTGTATAAACTTCATCAAACAAATCGTTTAAGGGTACCATTGCATAGATTCGATGGATAGGGAGTCTGAAAGATTTCTCATGGCTTGAATTTTGATAACAAAAAATATTTTCAGAATTTCTTAAAGAAAACCTAAATAACTAATTAATGAAGCAACTAACCTCCGTAACTTCCACCAAAGGCAATTACTGGTGATTTATCAGCGCCAGGTATTGTTGCCTAATCAATCAGTATTTCAATTTATTTGACGTCAACATTTTTCTCAACTAAGTCGTATTTAATGATAAGCAAGAAGTAGATTTGGATTGTGTAAATTGAGAAGTAGTTACTAATTTTTATTATTCGTTAATTTCGATCGACCTCCTTTTTATTAATTTTCACCTTTAAAAATGAGATCAGCTCTGCAAAATCAGCCAATGCTTCTTCAGAAGACAGATAACCGAGCTGAAAAAAAACTTGATTTTTTTTAGAAAACTTATCTTATCCAACACTTATTTTTAATTAAAACTGCAGGCTAGAAATTAATTTATCTATCTATTATAAAAGAAAAAAATGTCTGACCTTGTGGGGATCCTTGCTGTAGTTACCATTGAACGGCAAAGATTCTCCATAATACCTGAAAAAAAAAAACATTTGCAATGATGTTTATTGATTTAGGTGTAAAATCTTTTCCAGAAAGATGTCAATCAGTCACCCACCCAGAAAGCACCATGTTCAATATTATAGTAATTTTTTCTAGCAACAGAGATTGAAAAATGCAATCCAGTCGTACTATTTAATTTGTCTTATTTGAAAACGAGTTTCTAAAAAATTGAAAACTGAAGAAAAATATGCCTTTTGAAGACCTGAGCAGTCAGTAATTCCTTTAAATTTTGGCAGCGTTGGCCGTTTTCCCGAATTTTTCGGAAAATCGTTTTTTGTAATTTCTTTTTCTATTTCTTTTTTTTAATTTTAGGGAAAGGAAAGTATTAAATTTTTATCTCTCTTGAATTTTGATATTGAATAAAAGAATTTTAATAAATCAAATTCAAAAAAGGAATCTGGCTTCTTTAATTCTTAAAGGAAGTGACCGGTAATGTATGGTAGTGGAACTGCGAATGTAATGTTGTGGAGAAATTTTTTAGATTCATATAAGACATAAAAATGATGTATAATTACTGAGCTTGAGCGCAAAGTCGACTTTCAAAATCATCCATTTTGGTGTTAATGTCTTGACAATTGATTTTTTTTAAATTTTAAAATAACGTCGACAAAAATGTTGCATACTGGTTGAGAAAATGAAAATTAACTCTCGAAAATAAGTTATCTTATTCAGTTAATAGTTTTTGTAATTTCTCAAGGTTCACAAAAATGTTCTGGAATTTTATTGATAAACGACATTTGACGAATTTGTAGAAATATGCGAACAAATTCGTAAAGAATAAGAAATTCAATATAATGATGGAAAAGAAATAATTGATTCTAAGATTGATTTATTTCTATTGAGATATATGTTCCTTAACAAATAATTAGATTACTGTAGAATTTTTTTTATTAATTCTTAAACTTAACCACCCAAATGGATGATATTGAACGTCGGCTTTGCGCTCAGACTCAGTAGTTATAAATCATAAAACGTTCTATATATGTCTTAAATGAATTCTAAAAAATTTCTCCACACAACTACATTCTCAATTAAACTAGCATACATTGCCGGTCACTCCCTTTAAAAGTTGAGATATTAGATACTTCAGGTCAACTCGCGAACATTTTTTACTAAAAATTTAAATTCTAATTTTGTTGCTTTGAATATTCTCCGTATATAATTTCTGGGACACACTGTATAGTTGTGTACAAACTCTACCTGTGCTCAGCAAAGATAAGTAGCGCATTAAACTCCGGAGCAATATCCCACATGAACCCGGAGTTCTCCGCAAACGCCTCGATAACCCCCTCGTTCCCGGTATAGAAGAAGATAGGTCCCCCCGGCACCCACCAGGTGTTGTTCATCAAGTACTTCTGGGGAAACTTCAAGTCAGTTGTGAACGTGAAATGATCTGAAACGCATTCGATTTTTCATTAAATATTTTTTAAGCTGATCATAGAATAACTTTGATTCTATGTCTTATACTAAGCTTTATATTCCGTGGACATTTACAAGGATAAATATTTTTTGACGACCCCCGCCCCCTCCCCATTTTGGAAAATGGTATCTTCCAAAAGTTCTCTTTAATGGCATATCAAACAAAGTAATTGATTTTTTGGGGCAACTTTATTAATTTCTTTGATAAGTATTAAAGTAATCTAAAAAACGGGTCTGTCCTAGTGAACGATTTTTGGTCCCCCCCCCCAGGCCCCCCCTCCTCCTATCAATTTTGTACATGACCATTCATTTTTCAGCAAATTTATTATTATTTATTTTTTTGTTATTTAGGGTTAGGTTAGGTTAAGATACTTTCTGGGATAGCATGTACATTAGTTCTGG